TGATTAAAAAGTTACAGATTCAACTTTTTCTTATTCCTTGCCTCAAAAGTGTAAATCAATTATTGGACAAAGAAGATGGTAATAAATATAGGGTGCATGAACATGTTTGTATTGAAATAGTTTTCAAATTTTTTGTATATAAATTTTTTATAAGCATCTAAAAATTTAATTTAATTTACTTGACTTTGTATCCATCTTTACAAAAACAAATTACATAAATAAATAAAATTAGAAAAAAACAAACAAGACTTTTTTGGTCAACTTTATCCGTTTACTGAATCAATTTTCTTGTTTTTTTTTTCTATTATAAAAAGATGGGCATACTTAATTTTATCTTTTTATGATTTAATCTTTAAAATATAAGGTTTTACCAGTGTGAGATTGACTAATGGTTGAATTCCAGATAAGTCGAAAATGTAGACATCTAAATAGATCACGAGTTCGATCCTGTTGGAAGGATTAATTTATTAAATACTGGTCTCAACTCTGAAAAATATATGATATAGGCCCCAAACAACAAAGGTTTCATGTTGCTGTCAAAAACTAAAAATAAAAAAATAACAAAGGTTTCATGTCACATATTCCAAATCAAAGTTGATGGCTATGTTCGCATTGAATCTAAAAAACATTCGAGAACTAGACTTGTCAACAAGACAACAAGTGACCGTTGAGAAATAAATCATTATAAGAGCATCTCCAATGGGGGAGTTCTCTCCATGAGCTCTCTCAAAATTTTTATTATAAATTTTGAGAAAAGTTAGATGAGAACTCTTGTTCTTTTAAAAAAAAAATTTTGTGTCCAATGGTAGGTTCTCTAGTGGAGTTCTTAGGACAAGAAAAAATTATAAAAAAATTGTATATCATAAAAATTAATAATTATAGCAATTCATAAAAAATTAAACATGAAACATTGAGCATTCCTCTTCTATGATAAATCGACATATAACAATAACCAAGACCAATGATAAACTAGAAACAAGAACAATGGTATATACGAATATAAACATGCATGAAGCATTAATCGTTGACCATTCAACAGCTTAAGTCACTGGAATCACCATCAATGAATACCAAGTGCAAAGAGCCAAACTATAACAACAAGAATGTTGGCCTTGATTCTCTCGGTAACGTCATTTGTGCTTTTTAAACATGTTGTTCGATGAAAAAACATTCTGACGTGGTGCAACCGATTAAAGATGTGAAGACTTGTAGTGTCAGCAGCTTGATCAAAGCCAAGAATATACAGTGGTTTGGTTTCAGTCCCATTCTTGTGTTCTTCTTTGCCATCTTCAGCAAACACATAAGATAAGTGATAGATTAAGTCTCTATTCTTATGCCAAAAAAAAAAGTTAGCTAGCATGAAAACTATCACTGGGACTCTCTTACATATCCTTCAACTGAAAAATCATACTCAATTCAACTTATACGATTCCTATTAATACCATCTTTGATGTGATATACGTGCATATGCACTTCTCACATATCACAGGACAAAAGCTTGAAGAGTTTAACAATCTAAACTAAATCTTCATATAATCAGATATGAGCATTATGAAAAACTGCAACATTTACGTGTACAGATTGAAGCCACAAAAGTGAGATCAAATTTCAGCTCGTACTCAAGAACAGGACTGGGAACAATAAACTGATGTTGGTAATACACTGACCAATCACACAAAGAAGTAGCCTCACTCTAATAATCTTAAACTAAACAAAAAGACTAATGAATTTTGTACATCACCGATAATCAAACAATGAAACTAGATAAGATCCCAAGTTAGAACAGATCACTGATCACAGACAAACTTCATCAAAGGTGAGTAATTTATATTAGCACATTGATTCTAAATCCAAATTCAATACGAAGCACTAAACCCACGAATCTCAACAAACAATAATCACCAGAATCATCATCATCATAGAAAGAGAATTTACCAGGAGTTCTGGGTTTCCAGAAGAATCTCTTCGGTGGAATGGCTACCAGCTTCCTTATTGGCTGCGCCTCCAAACTTAAGCCAGTTCCTCCTCTCCATAGCCCGATGATGACCCGCTGCTGTGTAGAATGAAGATTCCGGATGCAATACCTCTCACCCACTACAATTTCGGAAAGAATTTCAGCCTCTATCATCGGATTCATCGGAAAATCTCTTCATCCGCCGTTGAAAAAAATCGCCAACGGCGTCGCGATGTTTCTGAGGTTTGTAAGTTTCACAAACCACGATTCCGGCGTCGACTCATCGGAATCTCACGAAATCGCGATGAAGAGATTGGTTCATCACGACTCATCTGAGGTTTGTTCATCACTTTTTTTTCTCGCAATCGCAATATCGAGAGAGAGTGTTTTTTTTTGTCGAGAGAGAGAACTAAAAAAAATGAGTGTTTTTTTTTTCATTGGTTAAAACACTCCCACCAATAGAACACTGACACGTGTCCGGCTCTCTCAAAATCTCAAAACTCCCTCAAGAGAATCGATTCTCTCATTTTTATTCAGTTTTGAATTATTTTTTTCCCAATTTCAGATGAGAACTCATCAAAATATAGAAGAGAACCTCCCATTGGAGGTGCTCTAAGGGTTGTGATTTAGCATATAACCAATAATGTGACAATTAATGTAGCATTTATGATGCAACCGATATGAAAACTTTAGAGCATGTACAATGAGAGTCTCTCACCCAAATCTCTCATGTAAAAAAAAAATAATAAAATAACAAAAAGTATTATTTAATTATGAAAGTCTCTAAAAAAAAGTAGAGAAAGTCTCTCAAAATCTCGCACTTGAGAGACTCTCACCACTTTTTTGAGAGACTCTCATAATTAAATAATACTTTTATTATTATTATTATTATTATTTACATTAGAGATTTGGGTGAGAGACTCCCATTGCACATGCTCTTATTGTTCTTAGTAAAATTTGTCACCGTCAGAAACAATGAAATATTTCAATATTGTTGTTCGCATATTATTCGTTTTTAAAAGTAATTTTTTTCCGGTAAGATTTTTGAGATTTACAGGACAATTTAATGCTAGAGGAAAGGGTGCGTCAAGACTAACGTCAAATAAAAAAAAACTAATGTAAGAGATAAGTCGACATCGGTCACGAAAACCCGCACCTGAGTCATGGGCTCATGGCTCGACACGACTCACGAAAGTCTCGCAATCCAGCCTGGACAACTTTTTTTGAGAAGCAGCCAAAATTGGCATCTCCCATTGAAGCCTAACACTCAAAAAGGTTATGGCAAATTGGCAATGCAAGGCAAAGCAAGTAAACGTTGGACGCGTCCACCAAAAAAGGAGGCCTTACTATAGTGGTGAGATAAAGAGTGCATACAAAACGTAAAGAGTAACGCACTAAATGAAAAAGAAATCTCCATTCAATAATTAAAATGCATGAATGCATCCATTAATTCAACACATGCAAAGAAGAAATATAAAAACAAACGACAACGAAGAAGAAAAAAGGTAGATGAAAACGCGGAGACAAAAAAAAAAAAAAAAAAAAAAAAAAAAAAAAGAAAACGCGGAGACAGAAACTATGAGAAATAATTGTATTATTCAATAAAAAGTGTCAAGTTAAAATTATGTTACAATTTTTATAGATCGTTCGATTAATAATCAATGTTTCTATCTTAATAATTTCAGTTAATTTGAAAACAAAAATAATTGTTTGGGATTTATAATTTGACCCATACGTTCTATTCATTGGCTAAGTACAATCTACAAAACATAAAGATCTTTTGAATTTAACGAAGTGGGATCGTTCTTGTCAGATCGTAATCTTTGTGCCAATACTTAAACCATAGTATTTTTTTTTCTATATTAAACGAAAAAAGAAACATGTGGTGTATTGACTGATGACTTTTTAAGTCCAAATAGATAGGTTCACGTTTGTAACTTCGATATCACATAAGAATATGAAAAGATGTAAAGCTAAGACCAGAGTAAGATAACTTCCGTTTAGATCGAGTTTGAGATCTTCAAGAAAAGATTTTGTAAGTATATTTGACCAAAAACATTACATAAAAGAAAGATTACAAACATTAAACTAGTCACAGTATATATACTATATACGTACGAGCAGCTTCATAATTTGAGAAAAGTCAAGTGGGGACTGTACAATTATTATTATTTATATACTGTATCAACTAAATGATTTAGATGGTACTGGTAAGACAAAATAATATGTGAAATATTTAACTAAAATAAAATAAGCTATGAAACATGTGTAAGATAGGCGATATAATCGGTGTAGGAAAAACCAGACCAAATGCAGACGATTTAGCCAATATTTTAAAAGATAATTTGCTAGATAATCTGTTTTTATATTTTAGTTTGTTGAACTTTCATTTTCTTAATGGAACAACTTTTGTTTTTCCTTAGTGAACCAACCTTTTTTTCATTCTTGTTTGACTCTTGTTGATTTTCTTCATTATCAATATCTAATTTTGATTTCTTTCTACATTTAAGTTACAAAACCTAATCATGACCGTAAAATCCTAAACTCTAATTACTGCTTTAAAGATTCCAGAAACTTATACCGCCACGAACTGATACACTATTCCAAAATCACCTTTCATGCACATATCTTTTTCCCATCTCCACCTCCAAAAAATTAAAGCTACACGTAAAAGGCTGCTACATCACTCGTCTACAATAGTCCAATTTCTCTATATTTTATTTTTTAAACATCTTTTTTTTCGTTAATGTTAGAATTATATAATTCAGATTGGTATGTCAATATTGTAATATTATGAGGTGTACGTGTTCTATTCGTTTCCATCTATTGATGTCCGTCGTGTGGGACATTCCTCACGCGCTTTGGTTGCCCAATCTGAACACATTGGTAAATGTGTTTTCAACGATGATTTGATGAAAAAGAAACCCATTTTTATAATTAGCTAAAATCAAGGAAAATTGACCCAAATGACTGACCAGTGACCAGTCACTATTTTACACCTCTTCAACAAGTTTTCTTCTGTCTTCTCTTTCACTCTTCAGACACAACAGTGAAACTAAAAACTAAAAAGATTAGATTTCAGACAAAGATTTTCTCGAGATCGGAGAATAAGAAAAATGAAGTTCGGGAAAGAGTTCTCGTCGCAAATGGTGCCGGAATGGCATGAAGCTTACATGGATTATGATTACCTCAAATCTCAACTTAAAGAAATCATTAAATTCAAACGCAAAACCAATCCTCACGGTGGTCATCATCCTCATCATCATCATCACTTACTTCACCGGAAAATGACTCTTCACCGAGCATTCAGTGGTTTAGTCTCCACGTCGCCGAAAAAAAAGAAACAACACCACGGACACGGCGGAGGACACGGACACAACGGTGCTGGTCAGATCGGACATTTCTCAGATTCTGATGATGACATCGAGGAAGGAATTAAACATGTCACTGCGCCGATTCTAATAAACTCGGCGAGTCATGGATACGAGACAACGTTTTTAATGGCGTCGGAGGAAGGAGGAGAGTACGAGACGGTGTTTTTCCGGCGGTTAGATGATGAATTCAATAAAGTAGAGAAATTTTATAAAGAGAAAGTTGAGGAAGTTATGAAAGAAGCTGTGATGCTTGAGAAGCAAATGGATGCTTTAATTGCGTTTAGGGTTAAAGTTGAGCATCCTGATGGTTGGCCATGGGAGGAACGTACGGTGGAGATGACTCGATTAGCTTCTGATGTTGCTATTTCTGCGGCGGCCGTCGCTGCTTCTACTCCCGCCGGTGCTAGATCCAGTAAGTAAAGTAAACCTAACTTTCCGGTTTGGTTGAAGCGTCAATGTACCGAGTCGTTGAATTGAAATTGATCTGTTTCTTTCTCCGGTTTTGTTGCTCTGCTTTTATCGAACCGTAGTAATTGATTCGTGTCTTTCTCGCGTTGATTGATTAATTTCGGTTTTATCAAACCGTAATCGTTACTGAATGGTCTAGTTGAAATTGATATGTTTCTTTCTCTAGTTTTGTTTGTTCCACTCTCTCCGGTTCGATTATTAATTCCGGTTTTATTAAACCGTAATCGTACCGAGTCCGCCAAATTGAAAATTGATTTTTTTTTTTGAAATTCTGGTTTGGTTGCAGTGAAGGTTGGAGCTCAAGCTCACATGGAGGCGATACAGGAAGGAGGATCAAGCAAAGCTGGTAAATCCTCTGACGAAGAGGATGATGAAAATGACGATGATGCAGAGAAAGAAGAAGATAGCGGCGTCTCCGGCGAAGTGGCCGGTGACGTGAGAAAGATGAAAGCTGCGAGGCTACCTCCGATTGAGGTTTTGGATCGTGTCAAGTTCAACCATACGAAGGAAACACCACGATCCACCATTAAAAGTGTTCTCCAAGCCTCGAATTTGACGGAGCTTAAATTTAGCAGAGAGAATCTGAGGAAAGTCGAAGCTAAGCTCAGACGAGCCTTCGTTGAGTTTTACCAGAAGCTTCGGCTACTCAAAAGCTACAGGTACGTACTCGTATATGTTGTTGAATTGGATTATCAAAGCTTGAATATTATGATTGATGGAGTTTGAGATTCGATGCAGCTTTTTGAATGAATTAGCGTTTTCGAAGATATTGAAGAAGTATGATAAGGTAAGATTTGGTTTGAGGTTTTAGAGATTTTGATTTTTGGGGATTTTTTTGAAGTATGACTGAAAGGTGTTCGACGAAATTACTCTGAAACAGATAACTTCAAGGCATGCTTCAAAGTCTTACATGAAAATGATTGATAACTCTTACCTTGGAAGCTCTGATGATGTTACGAGACTCGTGGAGCGTGTTGAAGCTACATTTATAAAGCATTTTGCGAATGCTAACAGGAGAAAAGGAATGAACATCTTGAGACCGAAAGCTAAACGAGAGAGACATCGAATTACATTCTCCACAGGTGGAATTCATCATACTTTATACTGATTGTCTTTTTCTTCAGTCTTTGCTTGTTAATTTCTAGTGCGGAATTCGGTTTCAGGTTTCTTGGGTGGATGTGTGTTTTCTCTAGTAGTGGCTCTATTCGCGATCATACGAACCCGAAACATTTTGCAGGAGGAAGGCCAGAAACAGTACATGAACACTATGTTTCCTCTTTACAAGTAAACTCTATTGTTTCTTCTGTTCTCATGAATATATATCGGAAATTCGAGGTGGAACTTATTGTTTTGATGCATTCTGCCTTCTTTGTTGTTATTACAGTTTGTTCGGGTTCATCGTTCTGCACATACTTATGTATGCTGGTAACATATACTATTGGAGGCGGTATCGAGTGAATTACTCTTTCATTTTTGGGTTCAAGCACGGTACTGAACTTGGTTATAGACAAGTTCTATTTGTGGGATTAAGCATTGGAGTCTTTGCACTTCTTTGTATTCTTGCCAATCTTGACATGGAGGTTGACCCCGAAACTAAAGATTACCAAGCATTAACTGAACTTCTTCCTCTTTTCCTGCTCACTGTAAGTCTATAAATCCAAATTCAGCTTTTAAATGTGAAAATCTGCTATATGACGATAATAACTGAATAAATTTGTGATCTAGGCTATGTTTGTAGTTCTAGTCTTACCATTCAACATCTTCTACCGCTCGAGTCGCTTCTTCTTCCTCACATGCCTCTTTCATTGCCTTGCTGCTCCTCTTTACAAGGTAGGAACAGAAACAGAACGGCTCATTGATCATGAAAAATAAATATTGATCTTTGTACTTCAATTTCAATATATCAAAAAATCTTAAATTTTCGACTTCTCCTGCAGGTAACTTTACCTGATTTCTTGGTGGGTGATCAGTTAACAAGTCAGGTGCAAGCTCTTCGGAGCATCCAATTTTACATATGTCACTACGGTTGGGGAGATTACAAACATAGAATAAACACTTGCACAGAGTTAGATGCCTACAATGCTTTCTTATTCATTGTTGCTGTCATCCCATACGTCTCTCGTCTCCTTCAGGTACAAAGTTTGTTGAGTTCATACGAAATCCAACAGTTCAAAACTCTCTCCATACATATAATATTTGCTAAAGAACCCTATGTTTTTGCAGTGCTTGAGGCGACTGTTTGAAGAGAAAAATCCAGAACAAGGATACAATGGCCTCAAGTACTTCTTGACTATAGTGGCCGTCTGCTTGAGAACGACTTACAGTGTCGACAAGGATAATCAATTTGCCTGGAGAATATTAGCTGGGATCTTCTCAGCTATTGCTGCCATTTTCTGTACTTATTGGGACTTAGTCTATGACTGGGGTCTTCTAAACAGAACATCTAAGAACCCTTGGCTCCGTGATAAACTCCTTGTCCCGCAGAAGAAAGTATACTTTATCGCAATGGTAAGCAAAAACTGTAAAGTAACGCATCATTTCGAATCCTAGAGCAAAATTGATTTTTAACTTTCAAAACAATGTGCAGATCTTGAACATCTTGCTCAGATTCGCGTGGCTTCAGACCGTGCTGGATTTCAATTTCTCCTTTATGCACAGACAGACGATGGTTGCTGTTGTTGCCAGTCTAGAGATTATCCGCCGTGGGATATGGAATTTCTTCAGGTGAGAAAAAATAAGTTTCTGCAGTTTTTCTTCACCATGTATCCGCGCTTACCGTCACACAACATATAATATAACTTTCTTGGGGGTTTGTTTATGAAAAAAACAGGTTAGAGAACGAGCATTTGAACAATGTTGGGAAGTATCGAGCATTCAAGACGGTTCCATTACCGTTTAACTACGACGAGGATGACGACAAAGGCAACTAGTTTTTTCAGTTTTCTAGTCTTAGATTATGTAAAGTCGGATTCTCATCCACATCGAGTAGGGGGAAGAGAAGGATTGGATTAGACTAAAGCTGGTTCATTGAGATCAAGGAGATGTCACACTCAGGATAACGGATATTTGCTAGATCAACCATAGTGATTAGGGTCACTGAGTTGCAGGAGACAAACGAATGGAAGAAACACTTAAAATTAGTTTCATTGAGAGAGACATTCATGGGCATCAACAAAGCAATGACTTAAAACCAAATTCTTCCCACAATAACAAAAGTAATAATCAGAAACATCCAAGGTTGTAATCTAAAAACAATCAAATAACATATAAATCTTACGAGATAAACCCTCACTTTCCCTTAGTTTCTCCTTCTTCCTTCTTTTTCGCCGCAGCCGCTGCCTTCTCCCCTTCTTCCAAATCCTTTAACGACTGAGTAAACCTCTCTTTCTGCATCGCCAGATACTGTCCATAGTAATCGACGTTAGAATACATACATGTATTCAGCTTCAATCTAGCATCTCGACAATTCGTGCCGTCATCTTTCACTTCCCAACAATGATCAACTTCTATGAATGCATCCTTGCACCCACCTTTCTTCAAAAACCGACTAAGCCAACACTCATCACAATCTTCTTCCTCTTTCTCCTTATTAGTTTCATTCAAATTGTCATCAGAACTTACTGTTTTAGATTTGTTCGGATCTTGCGAAGCAGCAGATGAATCTCCTCCTTGGTAAGCCGAAGGATCGTTACCGGATTTCTCAACATTCGGATTCATAGAAGACATTGTTGTTTGATTTTGAAAGATGAAGTTAGGTTAAGATAAAGAGTCAAGAACACGAATGGAAGCTTAAAACCTTTCTCTAAAACCCTTCATTATGACAGTTTTTAAGTTTTAAGAAGATTTCCTATAACAAGTGGTTGTATTCTTGGAAAACAATATTTCTTTTATGGTATTTTAAGATATTTCCTCTTTAATTATCTTATTACTTAAAATTAATTTTGTCATTTGTTAAAATTTTTAGATTCAACTATGAATTAATTTGATAAAAAAATTGACAGCCGTAGAGAATATTTAAATTTTAACATGGTTTACTTTTTCCGAATTTAACATGTTACATATGGGTCAAAATATTAATATTACAAAGTTTATGGTGTAAAAAGTAATAATGTAGAAATGAAGACATTTAATTGAAATATAATTTTTTTATTCTAATTAAACTGTCGCGGAGACCATGTTCTGAAATAAAGTAATGAAATCGGTGACCGTCTCTGTCTCCCTCAAGAGCGATCAATGGATCAGAATCCGTACAGGAGAAGATTGTCTCCGATCAGAACCACCACCGGCGGTTCAAAGTCCGTTAATTTCTCCGAACTATTTCCAATGAAGTATCTCAGCTCCGGTACGATGAAGCTCACGAGAACCTTCACTACTTGCTTGATACTCTTCTCTGTACTAGTAGCATTCTCAATGATCTTTCACCAACACCCATCTGATTCAAATCGGATAATGGGTTTCGCCGAAGCAAGAGTTCTCGACGCCGGAGTTTTTCCAAATGTTACTAACATCGGTATGTGTTCTTCCAAGTCAAAGTTTTGAGCTTTATTAGTTTAGATCTACGCATTTGCCTTTATATGTCCATAGCTCTTGGTCGAATTCAATTTGAGATCTTTGTTTCTGTTTTTAGATGATTCTCTTGAATTATATGAACAATACTGTTTGGTTCTGCGTTTTAAGCTTAATGTGATTCACAGTTTACAATTTGCAATGAATGGTGACAAAATTGAGTCTGATCTGAAGTCATTAGCTAGTTGGAGTATCCATGGAAAATGCCATAAAAATGGAGTCTTTGTTGGTCCCAACACTGCTATTTTTTGTCTGATGTTGTTTTAGTGAAAAAGTGATCTTTTGTTTGGTCTTAGCTTAGAATGTTACATTGGCTTTTTTCGAGGTTTTTAGATTTTTTTCTGATTCTGTTTTGTTTTGTAGATTCAAATGATTCTGATAAGCTTCTCGGAGGACTACTTGCTTCTGGTTTTAATGAAGAGTCTTGCCTTAGTAGGTACCAAGCAGTGCTTTACCGTAAACCTTCGCCTTATAAGCCTTCTCCTTATCTCGTCTCTAAGCTTAGAAACTACGAAATGCATCACAAGCGATGTGGTCCGGGTACTGAATCTTACAAGAAAGCTCTAAAGCAACTTGATCAAGAGCATATTGATGGCGATGGTGAATGCAAATATGTTGTGTGGGTTTCTTTTAGTGGCTTAGGGAACAGGATACTTTCTCTAGCCTCGGTTTTTCTTTACGCGCTTTTGACGGATAGAGTCTTGCTTGTTGACCGAGGGAAAGACATGGATGATCTCTTTTGTGAGCCGTTTCCCGGTACGTCGTGGTTGCTACCTTTAGATTTCCCGATGACGGATCAGTTTGATGGATTGAATCAGAAATCCTCTCGTTGTTATGGATCTATGGTGAAGAATCAGGCGATTGATACCGAGAAAATTTTGTCTTATCTTTATCTTCATCTTGTCCATGATTATGGAGATCATGATAAGATGTTCTTCTGTGAAGGAGACCAGACCTTAATTGGGAAAGTCCCTTGGTTGATCGTCAAAACAGATAATTACTTTGTTCCATCTTTATGGCTAATCCCGGGTTTCGATGATGAACTAAACAAGCTATTCCCGCAGAAAGCGACTGTCTTTCATCACTTAGGTAGATATCTTTTTCACCCAACAAACCAAGTATGGGGCTTAGTCACTAGGTACTACGAAGCTTACTTATTGCATGCGGATGAGAAGATTGGGATTCAAGTAAGAGTTTTCGATGAAGGCGCGGGTCCATTTCAGCACGTTATGGATCAAATTTCATCTTGCACTCAAAAAGAGAAACTTCTACCTGAAGTAGATACACTAGTGGAAAGATCTCGCCAAGTTAGAACCCCCAAACACAAAGCTGTGCTTGTCACATCTTTGAGCTCGGGCTACTCGGAGAATCTAAAGAGTATGTATTGGGAATATCCGACAATAACTGGAGAAATCATCGGTGTTCATCAGCCAAGCCAAGAAGGTTATCAGCAGACGGAAAAAAAGATGCATAACGGTAAAGCTCTTGCGGAAATGTACCTTTTGAGTTTGACAGATAATCTTGTGACAAGTGCTTGGTCTACATTTGGATATGTAGCTCAAGGTCTTGGAGGTTTAAAGCCTTGGATACTCTATAAACCCGAGAACCGTACAGCTCCTGATCCTGCGTGTGGTCGGGCTATGTCGATGGAGCCTTGTTTCCACGCGCCGCCATTCTATGATTGTAAAGCGAAAACGGGTATTGACACGGGGAAACTAGTTCCTCATGTGAGACATTGTGAGGATATGAGCTGGGGACTTAAGCTAGTATGATTTTTTTGTGATTTACTCTGTTTTTGATAATTTGATGTATCATGTAACTTCTTAAATTAGCTTTTATAAAGTCAATTTTTGTGCTTTTGACATTTTCTCAAATTAGATAAGACAGAGCATAAAGGTTGAGTCTTTATTACCAAAGTCTCCGTTTTTTTTGTATTGTTGCAGTAAAACGTGAATCTGATGATCTTTGCTTCTTCTCTTACTCTTTTTTCCATGTAACAGATGAAGAAGGTAAAAGGGAGAGACCAGATTTGATTTCTAATCTGTTTTTCTTATGTTTAGATCTTAGGGTTTCTGAATAAATATGTATCCCTCTAGAAGAAGATTATCTCTTTCCAGAGCGATTGATAAACAACCTGAAGAGCAATTAGGAGGCCAAGAAAAGAGGTGCAGATTCTTGGGAGCAATGAGAATCACAGAGATCTTAGCTTTTTTCATGGTTTTAATCCCTGTCTTACTAGTAATCGTAGCCATGTTTGGATATGATCAAGGAAATGGCTTTGTAGAAGCATCCAGAATCATACGAATGGAACCGGAACCAAATGTGACATCCTCAGATGATTCAACATTGCAGAGAGATCAGGAACAAAAAGGTAATACAATGATACATTGTTTAACTTACCTTTTGGAATTGGGATGTTTATATCTTTCTTTGAATGTTCCATCAGATTCTGTAGATTTGTCTCTGCTTGGAGGACTACTTGTTTCTGGTTTCAAAAAAGAGTCTTGCTTGAGTAGATACCAATCTTACCTCTACCGTAAAGCTTCACCGTATAAACCTTCGTTGCATCTACTTTCGAAGCTTAGAGCTTACGAAGAGCTTCATAAACGTTGTGGACCGGGAACCAGACCTTATACCAATGCGGAAAGATTGCTTAAACCGAAACAAACAGGTGAGATGGAATCAGAAGGATGCAAGTATGTTGTTTGGATGTCATTTAGCGGATTAGGAAACAGGATTATCAGTATTGCCTCTGTGTTTCTGTATGCAATGTTGACAGATAGAGTCTTGCTCGTTGAAGGAGGAGAGCAGTTCGCAGATTTATTCTGCGAACCATTCCTCGATACGACTTGGTTATTACCTAAAGATTTCACCTTGACTAATCAGTTCAGTGGCTTTGGTCAAAACTCAGCTCATTGCCATGGAGATATGCTGAAGAGACTGATTAACGAATCTTCTGTTTCGTCTCTGTCTCATCTCTATCTTCATCTAGCTCATGATTACAACGAGCACGACAAAATGTTCTTCTGCGCAGAAGATCAGAATATCTTAAAGAATGTTCCTTGGTTGATCATGAGGACAAACAACTTCTTTGCACCGTCTCTCTTCTTGATTCCTTCTTTCGAGGAAGAGCTCGGTATGATGTTTCCCGAGAAAGGAACGGTATTTCACCATTTGGGTCGTTACCTTTTCCATCCTTCGAATCAAGTCTGGGGACTAATCACAAGATACTATCAAGCTTACTTAGCCAAAGCTGATGAGAGGATTGGTCTTCAAATAAGAGTCTTTGATGAGAAATCCGGCGTATCTCCTCAAGTCACAAAGCAAATCATTTCGTGCGTTCAAAACGAGGATTTGTTACCGAAACTAAGCAAAGGAGAAGAACAACACAAGCAGCCATCAGAAGAAGACTCGAAACTCAAATCTGTCTTGGTCACTTCTTTAACAACAGGATACTTTGAGATCTTGAAAACAATGTATTGGGAAAATCCAACTGTAACAAAAGAAGTGGTTGGAATACATCAGCCAAGTCATGAAGGACATCAACAAACAGAGAAGCTAATGCATAACAGGAAAGCTTGGGCAGAGATGTACTTACTCAGCTTAACCGATAAGTTGGTTATTAGTGCTTGGTCTACATTTGGTTATGTAGCTCAAGGACTTGGAGGGTTAAGAGCTTGGATTCTGTATAAACAAGAGAATCAAACCAACCCAAATCCACCTTGTGGTAGAGCTATGTCACCAGATCCTTGTTTCCATGCTCCTCCTTACTACGATTGCAAAGCTAAGCAAGGAACTGACACCGGTAATGTTGTCCCGCATGTTAGACATTGTGAAGATATTAGCTGGGGACTTAAGCTTGTTGACAATTCTTAACTTGAAAGGTCTTGAACAAAACAGCTGAATCTTGATATCTAGACAAAACTTAGATAATCAACTTTGTAATGTTTTTTTTTCTTTTTCTTTTCTGTATGTTTCAGTTGATATTAAAGATAGAAGAACCAAGCCATTTGCTTTTGACTCCATTTTTGTCTTTAACTAATGACTTTCTTTACTTAACCCTGCAATGGAACATTTCTGAGACTCTTAAGGTATTTTAGTGGGCTTAATCACGATTAGGCCCAAATGATAAATTTTCTTGTGTTTTTGTTTTCCCAACAGTAAGTGAGAAAAAGAAAAACTCATAAGTTTTCTCAACTAACGACGGAAGAACAGGGCTTGCTTGTTTGAATGGATATCTTAAACAGTCTCTCCTCATTTTAAGTAGGGAAGTTACATCAGTGTCTATCATCTTACACGCCTAACTTTGTTCTGTAACTCTTTTCTTTTTGTGTCCTAAAAACTCTTTATAAACACTCCCTTAATCTCTCATCAATCCACTCACACACACAAAAATGGCTTCTTCTTCTTCCTTTTCTTTATTATTTCCTTTCTTTCTTATTCTTTTTTCATGCTTAATCGCACTTTCATCATCAAGAAGATCATTAATCGACCGTCCTCTTCCGAAAAACCTTCCAAGATCCGGTTTTCGATTAAGTCTTCGACATGTGGATTCCGGTAAAAACCTCACCAAGATCCAAAAGATTCAAAGAGGGATTAACCGTGGATTCCATAGATTAAACAGGTTAGGAGCTTTAGCTGTTTTAGCTGTAGCTTCTAATCCTGATGATACTAATAACATTAAAGCACCTACTCATGGAGGAAGCGGTGAGTTTCTTATGGAGTTATCTATTGGAAACCCGGCGGTTAAATACGCGGCTATTGTTGATACCGGAAGTGACCTTATATGGACTCAATGCAAGCCTTGTACTGAATGTTTTGATCAACCAACTCCGATTTTCGACCCCGAGAAATCTTCCTCTTACTCCAAAGTAGGGTGTTCTTCTGGTCTTTGTGATGCATTGCCTCGATCAAACTGCAACGAGGACAAAGATTCTTGTGAGTATTTGTATACTTATGGAGATTACTCATCCACAAGAGGGCTCTTGGCCACGGAAACCTTCACTTTCGAGGACGAGAACTCGATTTCTGGTATCGGGTTTGGGTGTGGGGTTGAGAACGAAGGAGATGGGTTCTCTCAAGGGTCAGGTCTTGTAGGTCTTGGTCGCGGACCGCTCTCGCTTATTTCTCAGCTTAAAGAGACTAAATTCTCTTATTGCTTGACCTCGATTGAGGATAGTGAAGCATCTAGCTCGTTGTTTATTGGATCTTTAGCCTCGGGTATCGTGAACAAAACCGGTGCAAATTTAGATGGTGAAGTCACCAAAACGATGTCGTTGCTACGAAATCCAGATCAGCCTTCGTTCTATTACCTTGAGTTACAAGGCATCACCGTTGGAGCAAAACGCCTTTCTCTTGAAAAGTCTACTTTTGAACTATCCGAAGATGGAACCGGAGGCATGATCATAGACTCGGGCACGACTATCACGTATCTCGAGGAGACCGCGTTCAAGGTGTTAAAGGAGGAGTTTACTTCTCGGATGAGTTTACCAGTCGATGACTCTGGATCAACGGGACTTGACTTGTGCTTCAAGTTACCTAATGCAGCCAAGAATATTGCTGTTCCTAAGCTGATATTTCATTTTAAAGGTGCGGATTTGGAGCTTCCCGGAGAGAATTACATGGTGGCGGATTCAAGCACCGGCGTTTTGTGCTTAGCCATGGGAAGTTCTAATGGGATGTCTATTTTTGGAAATGTTCAGCAGCAAAATTTTAATGTACTTCATGATCTTGAGAAAGAAACAGTGACATTTGTTCCCACTGAATGTGGAAAATTGTAGATTTTAATTGTTTTTTTCTTTTATTATAAATAAACTTTCATGCTTTTTAACAACGTCAAGTGCCTCAATATTTTTAGACCAGTAGAAATATATCTTCGAAAAAATAAGAAATAACGTTTTCTGTTTTGTTGGTATGAAAACAAGGAAAAAAAACAGAAGTAATCTTTGCAAGAAAAAAAAAACAGTATAATTTCCTTATTGATAAACAGTTATTTGAACCTAACTAGATTAGAAATTAAGTAATTCTATGTTTACATGTGTCCGTGAAACCACGATGATAATTATCATGTGCTTGGATTTTTTTGCCGCATCATGTGTGGGTTAAAGCTGCAAAAACTTCTAAATAAGGTAACATTGTAACAAAAAGTAGTCTATTTTTGCTTATTAAAATCTATATAAATGGTTTCTTGTTTACTATAGATTTGGGAATCTTATAATTTACATATATATTATCATGAACACTTTGAAATCGACACTGATATGATGATTCTATATTAGAATCATTGATGATAATGAACACTAATTATTATTATAATTATTAAACTTGGAAGCAAAGTAAAGGGGTTCGCTCAACTTCCAAGCAACTCGAGAGAGAAAGAGATGAAATGCATGCGTCATGCAATTTTTATCAATTTGGAATTATAAACACGTCGCCTAACAAACATAATTAAGCCCTAACCATCTCACCTATATTTGTTTTTAATAATCAAAATGTTTGAATACCATAAAATTGATGTATCTTACTGTCTTATACTACTGATTTACTAATTTCAATAAATACGTAATCGTTTTTAGAAAAGTGAAATATTCTAGATCTGTTCCTTCTACGATTATATATAAAGAGCACATGTGGATTGGTGTTAAATGTTCTTTGGTCGATATTTCGGAACATGAATAGAACTAGACTAATAAATGTCTAATGTGATTGCTTGAATTAGCTTTGACACTCAGGCTATGTTGAGTTGTATATCACTGGGCTTTTACAGGCCCGTAATAATATAATTTATTCTTGCTAAATCGGCCCATTGTGAAGCCTCTTATACAACTAACTTATAAAAGTGAATTACTACTACTCTTCAGGTGTTGTTATAAGACTTTAAAGATGCATTACGGTGACAAACATATAGGCTTTAAATTCCAGAGTCAAAGCAACATATTCATGTTATTCTAAGGTTGTTTGCTTGCTTGTGACTTGGAGTATAGACTATAGACCACCCATTACTTTGAGAACTAGTTATCACAACCACGGATGCAGTACCGTCTCAATATATAATGAAACCTATGGCAAAACCAAAAAAAATTAAAACCTCTTAGTAATTTTAAAAATATATATATTTTGGGCCTTTTTCTTTAAGAAATTTTTTGAAATTAATATTGGACCCTTGACATTAGCCTATCTTGCCTAGTGGTAGAGACGGGCATGCACGGATGGACCTAGAATACCATCTTTTTCTTAAGGATAATCACAATAAGAACTTAAGAGAATAGAATAATTGTTTATTCTACAAGATCTTTAAAAGAATTTCTAAAATAATATTGAAAAACTTTTGGATATGAAATACATAGTAAAATACTAAAATCTAAATCTAGATAATGAAAATCATATTTCAATGCATACATAGACATATATCCCATATGTATTATCTTACATTAAATGTAACTAAATGGTTTCATATTTTTCACAAATAATATATGAGGGAAAATACTATGTAATTATTTAGAAAATATGAAAGAATTTAATTAATAATGTAAAATAATAATATGGGATGTGTGTCTAAATATGCATTGATATATCATTCATTATGAATTTCACTACGTGGCTAAAAGAAATCGTAATTTATTTTTAGTTTTTAATGTTTGAGAAAAAAAAATTGGAAATAGAGAATTAACCCTAGATAGGACACATGTATTATGATAACTTTTCAGGGCCCAAGTCTTCGTCAAATGGTGGCGAAGAATTCAGAATCGCCGGAGGATTTTTGGTTGGAAATAAATTAGCAAAAAACATTGGCTTATTATATCTAAGTAAAGATTAATATTAAACATTATAACACCATGAAATTCATAAGGAAACCACAACCCATGAAATCAAAGAGACGAAGGCAATCACACACTTAAAGAAAGAGACAAAAGTCATCAACAAAGATTAAAGAACATCGAGAGATCAACACTTAGAAAACGGAACTTTAGGGTTTTAATTTAGATCCTCAAAAGCCCATTCGTTCTCCTTGCGAATCTCTTCTTCTTCCTCAGGTGTGAAATCGTTCTCAATGTTAAAGAGTTCTCGAACTTCCTGTGGCGTCATATCTTTGATGTAATCTGCAACGGTCTGGCTAGTGAGATCAAGAAGACTTTTGACGTTGAGATAGTTAGCAGCGAGAAGGAGTTGGAACATTGTTTCCATATCAATATTCTTCATGAACTCTGCGTCCCAAGTCACGAGCTCTTTCTTGGCTTCCTCGTCTACATTTTCGCTTATTGCTTCAACATCATCACTATCATCAACATCATTAACGTGTTTCTTGCAATACTCGATAACCACAGCGAGGATCTTTCCAGTGACGTTTTGAAGCGGGATTGCTTTATCGGCGCAGTCGTCATCGATCATGTGCGCTATGATCTGCAGTTTACGAGCCACCGCTTCGTCAACCTCGAAAGATTCATCATCGGAGCTAGTCAACACAATCTTGTTCGAAGACATATTGTTTGTTTTGTTGGTTAAAAGAAGAATAAGATTTTTGAGAGATTTTATGGAAGAAATTATTGTTGAATGAAATTGATGAAGCTATGAAAGCCTCTCTTATATAATGAGTTGAGAGTGGGTCAAATCTTGAATTTAGGAAATATGGTAAATTTTCATAATTAGAACAAAATCCTAATTTAATTAATTACGCTCTTATCTTTTCTTTTAATATTTGACCCACATATACTACACACATGCTAATAAGAAAATATTGAATAGATTTTATAGATATTATAGTAATATTGTAATTTAACATACTAATTATTTAATTAACCATATATTATTATATTTATATATAGGATTGAGAATTTCACCTAAAACAAAATTTAATTTTAGGTATCTCTTATCAACTCAATGTAAATTTTAACATATTGTATAATATAGTGAGATTTTTTATTTATAAGATTTTAAAATAATTACTTTTATGACATTTACTTTAATTGTTCTTATATAGATATTTACTTTTTCAACACTTAGCAACAGTTAACGTGGAGAATTCAATAACAACATTGTACCACATCAGTCGGAAGTCTACTTTAATAAATATTTTCAAAAATTATGGCAAGAAAAAGAAGTCAGATTGTAAAGTTAGCAACTAGTTGATTTACAGGACTCATCTGAGCTCGGTTATATGATTCTATTCAATTGCGTGAAGTCTATGAGTACTTGATAGGGTGTTTTTAGGTCTTTAGTCATGATTTGATTAGTGTAACGTGTTGGTCCGCAGGGAAACAAATATAGAATTATTAGGTTTTGTATAGCTTTTGGTTTCATTTTTGAGTTTCCTAACGAATCGAATAACGTAAATGAAACATTAAAAGATAAACATAAACGAGCACTTAGGATATAGGGGGGTACTAAACAATGCTAATCTAATTTTTTAACATGCGGTATATAGAGCTCACAAAGCTAGATTATTCCTCCTATATATGGTTTAGATAGAAAAAGAGATGGCATATAGTTATGAGGACATTCGAAAGCCAATTTAATCCTTATATATACATCATTCTTTTCCCTTACTTGGTCATGTGTTTCTAACTACACTATGGTATCTAACATGTTTGGATCAAACCATTTTTGAGTAGAACAGTCAGTTGTCAATTGCCAAGATTTCGATTTGTCACACACCGAACAGACTGGTCTTCAAACGGTCATGTAGAACCTATGCCTCATAAATATTAACACCCAAAATCCTAGTTCAAAACATGCATCTTACAAGGAGTCTAAATGTTGTCTAAGATCGTTTTATAAATTTTCAGTCTAAACACGTGATGAATATACACAATTATGTGTAGAAAACAATTCACCTTTAACGAGGTTTACAATTCATAAACATCACCCCGAATGTCTATTAGCAGAATTTACTTCGTACATAAATCAAAGATGAAAAACAGAGACTTCCATATACTAATTGTTGCCAAAATTGAAAGAAATAAACTTCTTAGAACTACAAATGGAAATTCAACATAATATAAAAGACAAGAACAAGTTCTCTGAAACTTCAGAACTCAGCCATACGCTCCTCTCTCTCTCTTTCTCTCGTTTTATGATGTTTTCTGTGTAGTAAGTATGGATATGGGCCTTGGGGTGCTTCTATATGAGGTTGGATAAGTTTTCAACAAAACTTACGACCAAAAAGATTACATGGCGAAAATTCAACTGAATAGTATTCATTTGCATATATATAATGTATGTATAACGAGAAGATCATAAAATAATAAATTGCTCTAAGATAATCATCCTAACCTCTCAATTATCAACCCCAAAAAAAAAAGAATATTAAAACTAAATATTGTATTCCGATCCTAGATTTGGAAAGGAAAAGGAAAAAAAAAAACAAATTATTACCAAATAATATAAAACTAAATTATTTTATACGTACAACGTGGAGCCTAAAAGTAAAATTTTATCATTTATTGTATAGTTTAATAAATAAATTAAGAAGGAAATTCAAAGATACGGAGAAACCCTAATAATTTATAGTACTTTTTTGTTCCCAAAAGATAACGGCGGCGATGTTTTGCTCTACCTCTACAGCCGGAGAAGATTCCGAATCGCCGGCGGATTTTAGTGGACGATTCTATTTTCACTCTAAAACTATAACAAGATTGCTAAAGCATATATTTATTGATCACCATAATAGAGAGAGCAAGGTAAAGAATTAACAACGAAATCTAAGTATGGAAAACCATAAAAAAAAAAGAGACGAAAGTCATCAAAACCCTAAAACCGACAATTAGAAACGAAACCAAAAACTAGGGTTTTGGTGTATCAGCCTCATCAAAAGCCCATGCGTTTTCCTTGCGAACCTCTGCTTCTTCCTCCTCAGTGTAATCGTTCTCGACTCCGAAGACTTCACGAATTTTTTCTGGCGTGTAATCTTTGATGTTATCTGCAATTGTCTGAGAAACGAGATCAAGAAGGCCTTTAACGTTGAGATAGTTAGCAGCGAGAATGATTTTTAAGTGTGTTTTCAAATCAAATTTCTTCATGAACTCTTTGTCCCAAGTCTTGAGCTTCGTCTGAGCTTCCTCGCTTTCTTCTTCATCGACGTGTGTTTTGCAATACTCGATAACCATGGAGAGGATATCTCCGGTAACGTTTTGAAGAGGGATCTCGTTAATAACACAGTCGTCTTCGATCATGTGTCCTACGATTTGCAGTTTTCTTGCTACCACTTCTTCAACCTCGAAAGATTCGCCATCGGAGCTAGTCAAAACAATCTTGTTGGAAGACATATTGTTCGTTTTTGAGATTTTTGGGTGATGAAAAGAATTGGTTATATGAATTATGCAAAGATGGAATAGAGGAGTCGATGATTGTATCTATTTATAAAATTTTAAGAGTCGGTCAATTGTGTTTTCCTTTTCACAATCTGAAAACATGTGTTTCCTTTTTACCCAAATAAAAAAAAAGAGGAAGAGAAGAAGCAAATCTTCCTAATTTAACTAGGGTTTAGTTTTAAACCTTTGGGCTTAAAACCGACGTCTGAGTAAAAGATATACTTTGGGCTTATCAGGAGATTCTAGAAACTTACAAAAAAAAGTTTTTCATAAACATCGATATTTTCTATGCAAATTTTGTATGACATTTTTTTATTGTCCATCTTAGTTAGAATTGAAATTAATAGATTAATTATTAATTTAATTATGGGATATATTAAGTTTTGTAACAAATTATTCACTTTATCAGTTGCGTTCGTTTAGTTTGTTAGGTTTGGGAGTCGATTGTGATCTCAGTCGTTTTGTTTAAATAGGCTTTTGTGACATGTAAGACACCCATTGATTTTCTACTTTTCTTTGAATAACTACTAATTAGAAGAGTAAATCTCAAATTAAATCTCTATTGATATTTTATCAAAAATCTCTATTGATATTAGCTAGTTCTCGAGCTCCGATTACAACAGTACATAAAATTCATAAAATAATATATTGTTCTAAGAAAATCATACCCTATATATATGTACTAGATCATGACCCGCACGTACGTGCGGAGTTTCATATTTTAAAATTTGTTTAACAAAATTTAATTTAATATAGATTATTTTGTTGTTTTATGATATATATTTTAGTGTATTAGATCTGGATCCACGTACGTGTAGAAATATTTTTATAGAAATTGTTATATAGATTTTAAAAATATAAAATATTTTGTTGTATTAGTGAACTTCGTAATAATATAAATATTATAAAGTTAGAGTAATGAACAAAAAATTCAGTTGCGTTAATGCATAATTATATTTTAAGATCCGGACTAATTTAGTTGCAAAAGTTAAATGGTGTTACATTTTTATTTTCTTAACTAATCAAAACTGTTCTAACAGTTTGATTACATATGTTAAATAGGATATGAATTCGGTTTTAGTTTAGGTTATTTCATGTATATTAGCATGGCGTAACTATTTTGGAACAGGAAACATATCACGTCCGGTATCTGTCATAAATTCTTTGTCCCATAACCTGTCACGTACACGTAAAATAAAAATATTACGGTCCCATATCTGTCATAAATAGAGTATGTGTAACTGAAAACGTATGTACATGGTTATGTGTGTAAACAAATTTATTTTATATAGTGCTCATAACCCGAACACATACCAGTTGGGTATTTAGTTTGATTTTTAATATATGTTCCCCTTCTATCTCGTCTCGTAATTTCTATTTCTATTTTATTCCATTAAAATTATGTTCCAAATTCTTGTTTGCTTACCTTTAAATACCATACAATATTACAATATATACTGTGAGTTTTGCGGATTAATATGTATGCTGTTAAAGTTATAAATATATTTTAACAAATTTATTAATGTTTCTAGCTAAATTTTGCATATTTTTCTTTTCATTGTTTAATCATAATTAATTCTAGACGTCAAAAAAAAAAAAATCATAATTAATTCGATTTTTTGGAGTAAAATTAAAATTTGAGATATATCTATAAAAGGGATATGCTATTGCTGCATAATTTGTTTTGAATGCAACATATATAATTAGTTAACATTATTTCGAAAACTGTGTGCAATATATTATGGATTGGTTTAAGGAAGATCCGGTTGAGAAGAAAAAAAAAAAAACACAAAATATTTCGAAATTAATATGTACAATCTATTATTTAGATATTTTCGAAACTTGCTCTAAATAAATGCTCAATATCGTTTTTTTAGAAATTGTGAAATAAAATTTTGTTTTATATTTCAAAATTTGTGAAAATATTATAACAAAACTGAGTCTTAAATATTTGTATTTAATATTTTTACGAAATTTCAAATTCAATCTTAAAATCCTCCATTGATAAAATTTTTTAAACTATAGTGTTTTTAATTTTGAATTAAAATGGTATTATTATTTTTTTATTTTTGATATAGAATAGTTTATTAGGATTGGTTTAGATAAAATTTTAGTTGGATATCAAATCTTAGTTTTTCAATTCTCATTGGTTAACAACTTGTTAGAAAAAAAAATTAAAATTTTCGTCCATAATTAATAAGAGAGAGAAAGTGAGTATAATTTTTTTGGAAACTAATAATTACTTTAAAAAATTTTATTATTTTTTATTTAAATATATTATTTTGTGATTACTATTTTATTTTTAATGAATTTATTTAAAAACTAAAACCAATGGTATTTTTGTAATACTTTACACTTTATAAGGTTATTTATTTTAAAGTGCTTCCCAATTAATAGTATAGATGTATATAAAAAGATTATAACGGTGTGAATTTACGATAACTAGTGTACGGAAACAAATCTTTTAATTCATACGAACTAAATCCCCAAAAGGAAAGAATAATGGTAATTTTTTTAACGGCGGCGACTTTTACTACGTTTACAGTCCGGGAAAGAATTCCGAATCACCGGGTGATTTTGGTGGACGATACCTTTTCTTAATAATTATGGTGGACGATTCTATAGTTAGGATCTAATATTTTATTCACTCTAAAAGATTGCTAAAACATATTTATTGATCATCATAATAGAGCAAGAACATTGGTCAATTATCTAAGAAGAGAATTAATTAACAACGAAATTAAAGAGACTAAAAGTCGATCCACACTTGAGATAACGGAAGCAAATCATTAACCAAATCAAATATGGAAAAGGAAAAGAAATAAGAAAAAGAAACGAAACGCTAGGGTTTGTAAAAAAAAACTAGGGTTTTGAAACTTCTTGTGCTGAAGCAGCCTCAAAAGTCCAAGCGTTCTCCTTGCGAATCGCTTCTTCTTCTTCAGGTGTGAAATCGTTCTCGATGTTAAAGAGTTCTCGAACTTCCTCTGGCGTCATATCTTTGATGTAATCTGCAATGGTCTGGCTAGTGAGATCAAGAAGACCTTTGACGTTGAGATAGTTAGCAGCGAGAATGATGATGAAGATCGTCTCAATATTGAGATCCTTCATGAACTTTGCGTCCCAAGCATCGAGCTTCTTCTTCGCCTCCTCAGATGCATCATCTTCTTCTGTTGATTTAGGCACAACCACATCATCGACCTTCTTCTTCGGCTCATCAGATGCACCATCTCCTTCTGTTGATTCAGGCACGACATCATCATCGGCCACATCGTCGACGTGTTTCTTGCAATACTCGAGAACCATGGAGAGAGTCTTTCCGGTAACGTTTTGAAGAGGGATTGCGTTAATAACACAGTCGTCTTCGAGCATGTGTCTTACGATCTGCAGTTTTCTTGCAACCACTTCTTCAACCTGGAAAGACTCGCCATCGGAGCTAGTCAACACAATCATGTTCGAAGACATATTGTTTGCTTTGTGAGTTAAACGAAAATAAGAAGTTTTTTTTTATGTGTAGAGAATTTTGATGAGAGATTGTTGAATGAATGATGAAATAGAAGAGTCGATGAATGTCTCTATTTATAGAATCCTAAGAGTCGGTTAATTGTGTTTTCCTTTTCACAATTGGAATTGGGTTTCATGTTGTTTCCTTTTCTCACAAGGAACTAAGGAAAATAAACGCAAATCCTAATTTAATTATGTATAGGGTTTAGTGAAGATAAATTTCTAGAAACTTTTTTAGCAATATAACAATATTCCTTTTTGTTTCTTAATTTATGAATTAAAAAAAGTGTTTTATAAACGTGGAAATTTTGTATTTTCGATGCAAATTTTGTATAACATTTTCTGTAATTTCCAATTTTGTATAACGTGGAATTAATTATTATTTATTTATTGAATAATAGCGTATTAGATTTTGTGTAGAGTTTAACAATGTGTTCAAATCCTTAAACATCTAATTTTATTGGTTACTGGTTACTGGTTATTGTACAAAATCCTCGATGGTGACTCCAATATTATTATTAAAGAAAGGGAGATTTACTCAGATGTTATACATTTTATATGAAATTACCAGAAACATACAGATCTTTTTTTTATTACTATCATATTTCGGGTATTTTTTATACCCAGCGTGCCCCTGTTAAACGTTACAGGAAAAAACGTAATTACAAAGAATGCCACTGCCACGTCAGCAAAGCCGCGTCGCCACATCAGAAATCGCTGACGTGTATTAATGAACTCAGCCGTCGAGCGATATAGCGGCAGTGACGGCTGAGTTACGGTATGTTGCGGCTGATTTAAGAAAAATGGCTGAGTTATGAGCAGACGGCTGACTTACGAGTATAACCCAGCCTGGAGTTACGGCTGACTTACTGAAATCTGTCTGAGTTATGATAAAATGGCTGACTTTCGAGCATAACCCAGCCTAAGTTACGGCTGAGTTTTCACCCGATGGTTGATTTGTCAAATTTTTGGCTGAGTTATTGCTTCGACACGGCTGACTTAACTTTCTCCGGCTGGCTGAGTTATCAAAGACGGCTTAGTTATGGGATGACGTTACGGCTGATTTATGTTCGAGTATCATAAATCAGCCGTAATGAGCTGGATTAACGGAAAACTCGGCCTTATTATGGCTGACTTAGTAGCGAAAGATTAATTACTAGAATAGCATGCAATGACGGCCGACTTATTAAACGACACGACTGAGTTAAATATTTTTGGTTGAGTTACGACAGTAAACGGCTGAATTTGGCTGCCGTTTTTTCGTTTTTTAATTACTGTAATAGTATTCATGTTGCGGCTGAGTTAAAGTTTTGTTTGATGGCTGGTTTAATTAAGCTGATTTACATTTTCGTTTGGTGGCTTACTTGCCACTTCATCAATTAAAAAATGACGTGGATGCAACATTCCATGTCATCATTCCATGTCATCATCATCAAAGGACAAAAAAATAGGGCCAAATTTTTTCAACTCGTCTTCTTCACCTGAGTTTATCACATCACCGGAACTTCCAATTCCTCATCGTCTTCCTCATTCTTCTTCAATTTCTTTCATCCTTCTCCCGATATGGTTGATCCGGTTCCGGTAATTGGGTATAAAAACACAAATACGTATTTAACACCGATGAAAGAGGGTGTAGAGTTGTGCAGATAGATGCGAAAACAACGCACGAAAAACTTGTGAAGTTGGTGCTCGATGATAAAGTTAGAGGAAATGTTGCGTCTCTTATTGTTTCGCTGCAAATTTACATGTCACGGCTGAGTTATATGCTTAAGGGAAGACGAAAGGTTCGGTCAATTTACATGTCACGGCTGAGTTATATGTTCCAGGGAAGACGAAAGGTTCGATAAAATTACATTACGGCTGAGTTATATGCTTAAGGAAAGACGAAAAGTTCGGTCAATTTACATGTCACAGCTGAGTTATATGTTCCAGGGAAGACGAAAGGTTCGGTAAAATTACATTACGGCTGAGTTATATGTTTAAGGGAAGACGAAAGGTTCGGTAAATTTACATGTCACGGCTGAGTTATATTCTCCAGGGAAGACGATAGATGGGTGTAAATTATATGTTACGGGTGAGTTATATGCTTCAGGGAAGACGAAAGGTTCGGTAAATTACATGTCACGGCTGAGTTATCATTCAGGGAAGACGAAAGGTTGTGTAAATTATATGTTACGGCTGAGTTACATCACGTTACGGCTGAGTTACATCACTTTACGGCTGATTTATAACACAGATCGGAAAGCAACATTTTTTTGGAGAAGACAATATGAAATTTATTGGTCAAATAACAACAATCAAATTAAGATTCGTAAAAATATGTTTGAGGGATACATAGGAGGAAGACTAAACCGTATGAATCAAAACATAGATAGAAGTAGAAATGTCTCCAAATAGATCGATTGAGAGGAAGATTAAACGAGAGACATGTAAAATCAAAGTAAAAGAGTAGCTATTCTTGATTTCAACTCAAACCTGTAACGAATCATGTAGAATTCCATAGATCTCTTTGTTTTGGGTTTTGATTTTTGATGACTTTTTTCGTGAGCGTGGTTGCGAGTAGATCTGACGAAGCTTTTGATTTGGGACCCTATGGCAAGCGTTGTGGCTGTGAGGTCTAGGAAGATCCAGCCCAATCATGCAATTTGAAGATCTCTGTCAATGTTGTACCCAAGTTAGTTGCAGATTATTAGATCTAAAAGCTTTTCTTGGATTTGGAGACAAAAAAAAAGAGAAGAGGAGAAATGATCTAAAAGCTTTTCTTGGATTTGGAGACAAAAAAGAGAAGAGGAGAAATAACGTGAGTTTGAGGAGTGTGAGATTGGTGATGTGGATTAATGACATGGATAATCAAATTTTTATTTATTATTTTTAATTAAAAACGAATTAAAAATTATTAATTAAAAAAAACTAATGAAGGGTGTTAATTGTAATTACACAAATGCTCAAAACATATAAGTAATTTTTAGAAAATGTATGATATTCTAGTAATATTCGAACTTTTGGTTAACATCTGAGTAAATATTTCTTAAAGAAAACAATAGGAATTTGTTGCTGGATTTAAAACAGTCGAAATAAACTAAAAAGGAGAAACATTTCTCAGGAAGTTCCAAAGAAGACAAGAAGAGAACATTATTAGAAGTATATTTTTTTCTATAGAGACAATCTAACAAGTTTATTGTATAAAATTCGATCATCTCTTCCAGTGTTGCTCTCTAACAAAGCGCTCTGCACAAGTTCCTGCAACATCACACATTCTTTAATTCAATTCACAATTCTCTGTGTTAAAAAGAATGTAAAACTTAGAGAACAAATCTGTTTTTACCTTGACTTCACGGTGAGATAGAAACTTTCCCAAGCTGTGAATGGTTACTCTCATATCTTCAACCTGTGAAAAGAAACACGAAACAACACTTCAGATTGATTCACAAGAGACTATGAGATGACTTTATGTACAGGACAAATTAGTCTTCTTCTTACCCTAACATAGCCTGCCTGGTTACGGTCAAAAAATCTGAAAGCCTGAGCCAAACAAACAAAGTGAACAAAAGATTTAGCACCAAAACCGCAAAAACATTAAACCGATTTCTCAAGTTTTGTAGGGATTATTTATTTACCTGTAACAGCTCTTTATCAACTGTTTCCTCTCGTTTTGGTGCATCAGATGTTCCCCCATCTTGCTTCCCGTGCTTATCCGTTTCAGACTTGGGTTTGATTTCGGTTTTTGGGTCAATACGACCTTTTTCTTCTTTTCTATTATCAGTTGCGACTTCAGTTATAGGATCAGCAACAGTGCCACTAGTCTTCTCAAGGTTTTCTTCTTTCTTCTGCGCCTGAAGAAGAGACATGAAACAAAGTGAGAAGATTTATGAAGAAAACATCTTGTTGTTGGATTCAGTTTGAAAGAGTGCAAGTCAAATGAGTAAATCATACCTCTTCAGCAGGGTCTTCTTGCTCAGAATTTGCAACGTCCATTTCCTCACATTCTTCTGGATCTTCTTCAGGGTCTTCTTCAGGGTCCTCTTCAGGATCCTCCTCAGGATCTTCCTCTGGGTCGTCATCACCATCGTCATCCTCCTCATCCTGATTATCCACCTCCCTATTAGCAGCTTCACCCACAGTAACTTCTTTACTGCTCAAAGTTTCTTTGGTGTTTGCTACAGCTTCCTTATCTGCAATTTCCTGGCTACCGTCTACGGTTTCCTTGCCTGAATTTTCTTTATCATCCTTCCCAGGAGCAGATTCGGTTATAACGGAGGTTTCCTTGTCTTTATGTTCAGCAGTCTTTTGACGCTTATTTTGGGATTTTGCTTCGTTTTGCTTGACAGACAACTCCTCCTGATGCCTCTTCCGTTGATTTCTTTGCCTCACAAATTTTACACGTAGTTTCTTGAAGGAAACAGAAAAATGACGAAGTATAAGAAAACTGCTCATGCGACTCAGACACAATAACTTCAAAGATCAATTATAAACTAACCTTGAGAAATTCAAAGATACGGGAACCCATTTGATACTGCAGCATCTCATATAGCGATTCCGCAAACAATGAAAGCTGCAAGAACATAGAAGATAGTTCAGATGTAACAACAAAATGTGGTACATTGAGTTCCAGTAGAAAGAATATGAAAACAGGCTAAGCAAAACATAAGGAAAAAACAAACCTCAAATGATGACTCATCAAGGTCCTTGTCAGTGTAATCCAAGAGCGAATCCAAAGAGGCCGAAAGTGAACGCAACTGCCAAAAAAAAAAAAAAATTGAAGTTACGACCATAATATAGATCATTACCAAATGTAATGAAACCTCTAATTTACTGTCCACCTACTTTGGAGTCTTTGTTCCGTTTCGTCTGTAGAATAAATCCGGCGCGAGGAGGTTCCTCACACTTTTTCCTGTCCTTCACTTGTATCCTGGACTCATCTTTTCCACCTCTCTCTTTTATCTCTTTCTCGGTAATTTTTTCTTTTACCTTTTTCTCATCAGCATTATTCCTATCAATTTTCTTCCCCTCAGACTGAGTCTCTGAGCTGTTTTTCTTTTCAACCTTCTTGTCTTCACCTGTCTTAGTGTCTTTCTTGCTTGAACTAGAGGCACCCTCGTTTTTCTTAGTATCCGGAGATCCTGTATTCTGTTTTATATCCACAGTTTTGGAGGCATTCTTGTCTTTCACATCTTCTAAAGATTCGGCCATCGGTTTTATCTCCATACTACCTGAATCAGGGGTTTTCTTGCCTGCCTCCACTACCTTTTTCTCATCACTATCTCCGTCTTTCTTGGAGTCACCGTCCATTTTACTGTCTATTTCAGCAACCTTCCTTTTAGCCACCCTTTTAATAATTTTTTTCTTTACAATTGTCTTTGAAGGAGTCTGCTCATTAGCCTTAGCACTGGGATCTGAGGTATCTCCAGTTTCAGCTGCCTTTTTCACTATTTTTTTGTTAGAAGATGTACCAGTGGATTCTTCTTTTGGGACTGTGGTCTCTGATATGGCAACATCCTTCTCATCCGACTTCTCACCTTTCTTACCAGTTGCTTTTCCATCGTTGACAGGCCTCTTAACAACTCTTTTAATGATCTTTTTAACAGTCTTCTTAGTTCCAGTTGTCGGAGTACCAGAAGTGTCTCCTGGGGACTTTTTCTCTGCATCCTTGGTTACTTCAACAGTATCTTTCTTAACCTCCTGAGAGAGTAGTCGATCTCTCTCAATAAGAGCTTTCCTGTGTGCCAACCATTGGGTTCTCCAAGTATCAAATGAAGGAAGACATTCTGATAAATCAGGGACAAATAGTACGGTGATCTCTTTGTAGCTAAAAACTCCATCTGTACCAACTCTGTCATAATGTATCTGTAAATGCCAGAAAAAAAGGCAAAGCAAATCTACTTAGATTTCCATATTAACTGGCAAGCAAGATCGCTTTGTTAGCTTGTAACTTATCCTAGAGCTACCATACTAACAAAAAAGTGAAATTGCAGCAAAACAGGACACAAATTAACAATAATTGCAGCTATTCACAGAGAAAATCTCTGGATAAACCAATAGCAATGGTTGATGATCCACATATTATATACAATCACAATAGAAATCTATAAATCAGGCAGTCCACTACTAAGCTTTATATCATCTTCAACAACCTCTACATAAAGAAAATAAGAGTGATCGTAAGGTGTATATACTATCTTAGCTACAATACTCAAGTGTCATGTCTCCACACAATGCAGTCTTAAACCATGAGAAGGAAAACCTACCTCGAGGAATGGATTCCAGTGACGGCAGTTACTCAGATCAAGATGAAGCTTATCCTTTGTGTGTCTGCAAACACAAAGGTTTTTCAAGTCTCAGACAATGAACAAAAGGCAATTGAGTTACTAATTTTGTTAAGGCTTCATGTATTTGTCAAGAGGCACAAGTAGGAAGAAAAACCAAATCATTGTATAGTAGGGTATGTTTGTTGTCTATATAAATCAATTTTGTCGTGATGTACATACCAAGTTTCAGTTAATTAAAAGTTTCTATTTCGTTCGTCTTCTTTAAAAGTGAAGAGATAATTCTCTATCTCTTACTCTGCTCTATCTCTTACTCTGTTTCTTCATTCTCTCAATATTTTAACAAAAATGACAAAAGAATACGTGAAGAGACAAACCTCAGCATTGTCTGAATTAAGGAAGACTGATCAACTGATGGGTCCATGCCATCTGTGGGATCCCAGGAACCACCAATCGCCATGAACGAATGATCTTTTTTAAGAACAGCGAATTTTATTATGTTGCATATATGAGGTATACGGTCCTCAAACAATTTATCTGAAGAAAGATCTTCCAGAGCAGTCCTACTCAGTCCGCTCATCAAAACCATCTGAACAGTAGAGAAAACCCACAACATATGAGCAATTCTTTCAATACACTCAGAAGCAATAGTAGCAATGATACATCGTCCAAACATGAATATATTAAGAATATAACAACTAGCACTGACATAATTAAAGAGGCAATCTTTATCAATGAGAAAGAAAAAAACAGCCAACCTTGGCATTCCAAACAGTTTTTTCTCCAGTTTTCAAAGCTAAAGGCTTTGTGGAAGTACTTTTCACATCAGCCCCACCATCTTCAATGTAATCATGTTCAAAACTGCCGTCCTCAACAAAAAATGGTTAGGTTTACAAACACATTTAACCAGATAATATAACGAAAGTGAATCCACAAAACTTGAACAATGTGTGTAAGGGAAACAAAACCTCCAGAACAGATCTATTTAAACTACTTAAGAAGGATTACAATCCTAAGACTGACAAAAATGTAAATAAGAAGCAGAATAATTCACCTCACAGCAGTATGCATAGAAAGTGTAAGCTTCTGTTTCGGCCAGTTCACAACAACCTGAAACATATAATACATTTGAGGTTAACAATCATTTAGAACTCCACTAAGGATTGGATAATAATTGGGAGATAGAAACACAGAAACCTTCGAAAACTCAGAAGGCACAAAAAGCCTGGGATATCTTTTATCTAATGTCAAGTAATCCCTCTCCATGTCAACCAATCGCGAAGATAAAACCTGCACATAAGTCACCCAATAATTAAATAAAGAATAATACACACTGCGCTTAAGCACTACATCACATACAGAGGGTAAGGTAACTCTGCCCCTCCCATATCTGGCACCATCAATCTTATTAATGGGAAATATAACAAAAAGTCCTTGATTTGAGAAAGTGATAAGCATCAAGTGTCTCATCCTTGTGAACATTTCCACATTTAGTTCACTACGAAGTCCATAAGACAAAAACTAGCAATCAGGTAAAGTAACTGGAGACCACAAGAAACAGAAGCCAAATATCAGATTGCAAAATTGCCCTCCAAAAAACTACCAAACTCAGTAAAACATGGATAGAGCAACCTCATATATGTCCCCCTAATGTCAAAAGCAGGTAAAATAATACCCAGAGGTGGCAAGAAGTCAGAAGCTTGGACAAATAAAACCCACAACCAGGAAGGGCCAAGTAAATTCGCCACAAAAAGAAAGAGAAAGTATAACAACCCAAAGTACAGGAAGATATCCCATGGAGAGAAAAGAATTGAGAAAGCTGAAAGGATTATCTTGATAGATGGCAAGGCTGATAGAGTAATCGAGGAGGGGCCAAGAGATGTCCAAGTCAATCAATAACAAAACAACGAGAATGCAGGAATGGAAAGGAAGATGAGGTAACCCTGAGGAGTAGGCAAAAACATCACTGAAAGAGGAATCTCTTGGAACACTTATTACCTTGCAGACATAATCTCTCCTTACTGGCTTAATCGGTGAAGAACGCCTTCAGGTATAACAGAAATAAGGTTAGTGCCTGGTGCAGCAACATTAAATGCCCTGTATTCCAGATGAAGAACGTGACAAAGATCAAAAATAAAACCTAATTGATGCTTCGTGATGGTGTGCATCCCGCCGCAAAGAGGAACTACGTGCATCCCTAGAAATAGATTTGGGCACTGGAGTCCGCTCCTTTGTGTCTTTGGACGTAGCTCTTGCTGTTGGAGTTCGATCTCGTTTTATTTCAAGAGCACGTTTTCGCTCACGTTCTCTTTCTCCTTCTCTTTCCTTCTCCCGTCGCTCCAATATGCGTTCCCTTTCCCGGTCCCTAGCTCTTTGCCTTTCTCGTTCCCTCTGGCGATCTCGTTCTCTTTCACGTTCGCGCTCCCTCTCTCGCTCTCGCTCCTTATCTCTGGCGCGTAAATCCTCACGACGACGCTCTTCTTCCCTTAGATCAAACTCCCTGAGATAACTTGCCCGGTCATCTTTCCGGAGATCATCAACACGAGGACCAGCGCCACCACCACGAGGCAGCATGCCACTAGGGTAGTCCAAGTCGAGAGACGCTGCACTATGGATCCCTTTCCCAGTGCCATAATCCCTGCCTGGAGGTAAGCTAACACCATAACCAGGATTTGAAGAACTCTCCGGATAAATATAGTCATCTAAATTTCGCCGAGGAACAGCTCCTAATAACGATGGGGTATGTTGGCTGGCATAAGAAGATGTGTTGCGTACTGATAAACCGTGAGGATCAGACTCAAGCCTTCCTCCATAATGCATAGCTTCTTGGTCAGAATGGCGCACAGTAGAACTTCGTTCTGTAAGATAATCGGCTTGTCTGCCAGAAATGTATGCTACTCAGTGCAATAAGATATAAATTTTGTTCGAACGTTATTATAAGTTTCGACAAGAAGGTACAGGAGCTTTATAACAAAGGCCTTGGGAGAACAGATCTGAAAACAATATAGATAACAGACGTACCAAAAAATGACACTATTTTAACAAAAAATTATATGCTAGGAAGAAATCTGGCTACCGTTACAATCATCGAAAAATACCTGTTGACACCTGCATCAACAGAAGAGGTATGGAGCGACTGCATTTTTAATAATTGTTCTCCTCGGAGGAGCGATGCTTGATCAATGCGATCATACAAGTCAGTCTGCCAAAATAATACAATAATGAGTATCAAGCCACCATTGAACAGAAAATTAACCAAATTCATAAGATTTTCTAATAGATGTGAGAGTTTGCGCACCTGACGAGTAAAATTAGATGAATCAGTATATCGACTAGTTGGTTCATTTTGCAACTCCCTACCCATATAAGCGCTTGGCCGTTCACCATACTGCCTTCTATCAACAGGAATGTAACCAGACAGCTTATCGGAATACAAATCATCCGCCTTTTGACCATAACCATGACTCGAGGGAGACAAATAGCTTCCAGATGCAAACTTTGGTGAATCAGGTAAAGTAGGAACATATCCAGAGCGGTTGTCCAAGACTGATGAACCTAAACCATTGGTACTTAAAGGCTGAGAGCTGCTAAGAGAAGATGATCCATACACAGAGCCATACTGCGTTCCGTAATGACTAGCAGCTGTGGATAAATGAGTTCTATATCCACCACCAATGTCAGTCTCTTGAGAAGCACCTGTAATTGAAGGATGGCGAGAACTCAAAGAAATCTGAGAGCCTCCTCCTTCTGCACCACTCACTGAACTTCCTGGATAACCAGATCCAAGCTACATAAAAATGTAACAATTAGCCATAAATTCGACCCACTAAGCATAATTTGGTATCAATGAAATTGATGATCTTACATTCTGAGCATAACCAGATTGCGAACCGTATTGCTGTTGTCCGTAGCCAGTCCCTCTTGAAGAATACATATCTCTATGCATCTGATTTCAATTTTGTAATTTTAGATAGTGAATCCTTTGAGAGATAATTAATACACAGAGCGATCAATAAGAAAGATTTATCAAAAAAAAAAACCAACATGCATCATCGGAAATTTCACGAGCCTAAACTAAAAAACGGCTGAAAAACGAAAGTCCAAGAAGATTGAAAATTGACGGGCTTACCTACAAGAAGATTGAAAATTGGTTTCTTCTTTGCGTGTCACGTGTTGACAGAGAAGCAAGAGACTAAGCAATTGAGAGATTAAAAAGGAAAAAAAAAAACAAAACCCTAGAAATCACAGATTGAGGAAGAAGAAGAGCTTTGAGAATGGTTTGTGGAGGATTAGTTTGTTGTGAAGAAGAGAAAGTAAAGAAAGGAAATGTTAAGGGTTTTTTCTTCTTTCAAGTTTTAGAGGACACGCATGCATTATCTCTTAATGGGCTTAGATTTTATGCTATATCTTAGACCTTTTAAAAGTTTGTTATAGGCCCATTATTTTTCCTTGTACGTTTGGTGAGGTCTAAATTCCGGTTAGGCAAAACAAATTTCAACAAGGGGCATATTATTACTGATAAAAAGTAAAATTATTAATTGAAAGTTTGCCATTATTTACTTCTATGTTTTATTCACATTTTACAAATATTTTCAAAACATAATTTGGAGGACTGGAAAAAATTTCTGATTTTTTTGCGTAAAATATTGGGTCTCTAATATTGATTTACTTCAAAATATTTGAATGCCTTTTATTAATTACCTATGCTAATGTCATTCTCTTAGCTTATGGTTATGTCAAGATCCACTTTTTACTCTTCTATGTATGATTCTATCAGCTACTAAAAGTGAGAGTAGATCAAGCGGCATTAAGGTTAGTGGCCTCCTAATTTAATCAAAGCATGTGTTGATGATATATCTTAAACTAATTACTTCTCTCGTTTGACTTCTTCTTACTTCTCAAGACAAATGGATTTTAAGGAATGTAGAGTGTAGTTGGTATGCTATAAGATGCGTTAAACAGATATTAGGCAGATCTTATTGCCGATTATGTTACAAGTAGAGCCTAGAGGATTCATATTTTACTCCCTTCTTTTGCACGAAACTATGAAACCAATATGAACACTCTCAAGCTTCTTCTCCAGGACAGCAATTTCTTGAGAGTTCAACCAGGGTTATTGCTTCCTTCAAGTTACCTTACCAACTACAAAATTCCTCGGTTAAAAAGTTTGCTCTTCTTCATGTCTCGGATTTCTGACAGCATTTTCGCAACTTTTTCTGCAGCTTGTTGATCACCCATTTTATCGGATGTCACTTCTTTGTGATTTAGATTTGGTGCTTGGTTTGCTTCCTCAACCAACTTCTTTTGATGCTTTTCAAGCAAACGAATTTCTTTAGTGTTTGATCCGCTGAAGTTAAAAACTAACTGCCTCACATCACATTATCCTTTATCCTAAGCTGTTAACCCAGTGTGAACCTTTTTCTCAAGTGGCAAGTCCATTCCAAGCAAATCTGTTGCGAAAAGCTGCAGAACAGCTTAGGATAAAGGATAATGTGATGTGAGGCGGTTAGTTTTTAACTTCAGCGGATCAAACAGCGCTAGTTCACTCGTTTGCTTGAAAAGATTTGCTTGGAATGGACTTGAGAAAAAGGTTCACACGCACTTAACCACTGAAATCAATTTATATAGGATAAGGTTGAAGACTTGAAGTTATCCCAGAAAATTGTGGTATCTCATATTAGAATACTATCACTATCATTCAAATGCATAAAAAGTATCTTAACAAGTGATAGAAAGTATTACCTTCACAAATGCTGTAAATGTTGCCTGCTTTCTACCACTTCCTCACCAGATTTTCCACAATGGCACAATGGTTCCTTCTGCAAAATAGACAACATTTTAAAAATTGCCGAGATAGTGTATGTCTATTTCAGCAATTGGCTTAGTGCTTCCGACCCTTTAAATACCACTGGATCATCTAACAGTCCAAGGGCCGACTATCACGATTTAAAAGGTCAACCACAATCTCGTTATAGACGAAGCTCCTTTCTTGAGTCTGCATAGATTTTACAAGATTCATGGGTATAGAAGGAGAACATATCACCTCTTCACAAAACACACAGAAATAGGGACCTTCAATTTGGTCACTCACTTTTCTTATACGCTCGTCATATATCTCTTCACTTTCCTTACTTACATCTTTTCTCAACTGCATAACCCTCAACTAAACATCAGTCTCCTCCTCATTCCGGCCTTGCGAGAAAACTCCAACATCTTCTTTTGCTTTAGTTCACTCTGTTTACAGGTACCCGTAGCAGATCTGCAACCTGAAATGATAGAAGTATATACCAAAACAAAAGGTTGCTCTAAACACCTAAAATAAAGTTACAGTTTGAAGTTCTGGACTATGGACTATGGCACAATGGTTCAACAAATTTAGTATTACCGGCGTGCACTTCCAACTTCCTGCCTCTGATTGTAGAAAACTAGACCCCATCTCCCTGTGCAGCTTCATGTCGTGTTATTGCATCTTTACCAACTCTTTTTTCCCTACCCACTGAATAGTATAGACGCATAACCAACATGATTCTGAAAATGAAAACCAAACTTCTTTTTGTATGATCTGAAACAACTTTAGTTTTCATCTCTGCCTCAATAACAAGACCGACACAGCAGCTTTAAGATACCCAAAAGATCACATACAACTTCTATATATTTCATTATTTTGTATACACTATTCTGATACTTTGTAAAAACATATATTCTATCAGGTACAGAAGATGTACACAAGGGGGTCTTATGCGTCCTACTTACAAGCATGCAGATCCAAAGCTCTTCTTCTGTCCTCATTGTTTATACTTTCGCCTATTCTTTTTTTATTCTTCTGTGCATAGTAAATCAGTTTCACTCTGCAAATCTCAGAAAGGGCATGAGCACAACATGTCGCTTCGTATTGTTTGCCTTCTTCTTAATTATATTTCAGCATCTTGGTTTCAGGAGAAGGTTTCGGATAAAGAATGAGTGCCAACGCCAAAGAGACCATAAGACCAACCACTCCACTAAAAGGCTGTAAAGGGCGGCTCCCTGCAATCCAAACCGGGGAACTTGGGTTGTAGGTGAGGAATCCACCTGACTGTAGTATAAAGCTTGTTGCTATGATTCCTGCCCGCAACCCAATTGGAACAATTAGATTTCCTTGGCTTCTTTCACGAGCCCCAGCAAGCGCCAATGACAGAAGCCATAACCCTGGAATTGATCTCAGGGATCTGGAGAATTCGACAAGAAACTGAAAACAATTAGTATTTAATCTCAAAAGAGTTAAGCTCACGCTATTGTACTTTCCATGAACAATAGTTGTGTATAACTACAATATGACATACACATATACCCAGTTCTTAACAATAAAATATTTAACAAAGATATATACCTTTGGAACAAGGCAAATATGAGTCCTGTAATGATAATGCTTTGATGGTAGCCCAGGTCTATAGCAATCTCGGCAGGCATCCATGATCTGAAGAGCAACTCTTCCACAAGCACAACAAATGTCGCAGCTGTAAATCCTCTAATTATCAGCAGAAGAAATTGCCCACATCCCTTAAGACACTTCATGGCATCAAAAGGATGTGGAAAATATGGCGGTCGAGAAAAAATCGCAGCTCCTGATATTGCATTTATGAACTGTATTAGTAGAACGACTGTGATGCCCCCTGCAAAGGCCTTTAAAAACTCTTGAATCTGCAAGGAATGAACTTACAATATCATTTCTACTGTCTTAATAGCATGAATGTATGGAAGTGAAGAGAATAAGAACATGTGAAGTTAAGGGAAAAGGAAAATCACAACTACTCCATATCTTGTTGCTGTTTGAAAAATGTCCACCAAGATCTTAGTTGAAGCAAATTGGCATTTGTATTATTTCCTTATTTTCTTACTTATGAGGGAAACTAATGATAATGCGCTGCGGGACCACGGTTATAAGGTTAGTCTAGTGGCTAATGAAGTATTAATGGTCAAGAAGTTTTCTTCAGCAATGCAACGAAAACCTAACTATTCTAATCTCAGTGTTACATTTAAGGTTTTACCTTTTCTTTGTTTGATGCCTTAAAATCAAGCCCATATTGCTTGAATGGGTTTTCATACTTCCGTACTCTTTTTCCCCACAGCATAACAAGAATGAATACAGCAACATAGAGACCAACTACACTAGCTAGTTCCGCCACTCTAGAAGGATTACTTGTGGACCAGCTCTGGAGAAGTGTTGGAAGCAATGGAATCACAACCGGTGACCATAACACGAGCACCATGCCAATAAAGCCCACAGCCCTAATAAACAAGAAAAAAGTAATGATACATACGAATCATTAGGACCAGCTAGTATGAAGAAGAATCAAAGGACCCTACTTATGATACTAAAATCACAAGAGTTGGAATCTATAACATGATTGTTATCGGAAGAGAATAATAACAGTTTTAAAACGAGGAATTTACTAGCAAACATGTACTGAAAAATATAGCATATTAAGAATGGGGAATTTTTACTCGCAAACATGTAGTGAAGAATAGAACGTTAGTTCTCCAGTTTGTCTTTAAGTTAAGGAAATAGTTAACACACATCCATAGTTTAGCATTCATTTCATTTAGCCAAGTAAACCACATAAATTAATTTATTACTAAACCACATTAATTAATTTAGTAATACAAATATAAGCATCAACGTAAAATGTTCATAAGAGACTACTTCAGATCAATCACATAAGTTCAACGATATTGGAAAGAATCAACAAAAATGCTTAGAGAGAAAGCAGCTTACCTCTTGAGCAAGGGCCATTCATCCATGCGCAAAAACTGGATTAGCCTATCAGTTAAACTCATAGCACCACGAAGGCCACCCCAAAGCAGAGCAAGTTTTCCAACTAACCTCAATATGCCACCCCTCTGACCCAAATCTGCCAACATTGCCACAATCCTGTTCACATGAAAACCAAGGGATTTCAGATTAAAAAGAATCTTAGGGCACTGATATATAAGAATTGACTTATTTACTTTTAATACCTATCCTGATCCACTTCACCAGTTTCCTTTGTTGGAACAGCAGGACCAGCTATGGACATGGCTTTCTCAGCAAAACTTGCCACTATACTGTTCTGATCAAGTTTTCCAGATTCTTTAATTTGACTATCTTTCTCCGATGATTTTGACATGATGCCGCCTTTTTGTGGATCCTGCGCAGGAGGCACTGATTAGAAAGAACGAACAAATTTGTATGATCATTTGATTATATATTCATCTGAATGCTAATGTTAAACAGTACCTCGTGTTGAACCAGCATAGCAGATGCTCCCAAAGCAGCGGTTACAGCACCAACCATGACACCCTCATTGTTAAATTTTTTCAGGCCAGATTCCACCATTTCTCCAATGCTCGAGTTGTTTTGTTCGGTCTCTTGGCTAATTTTGTCTGGCACAACACTCGGCTTTACACCATTGTTCTCGTACTTTTGTGTTCTACCCGGGACAGTATCTCTCTTAGCATTGCTGGTTGTTGTAGATACATCGAAATATTTTCTCAAAGCAGCTAAAACAGAGCCAACAACAACACCAATAGGCAGTACTTGTCTGAGAAAATGCGCCTCCTGGACAGCAGATGCAATTGCCCTAATGATAGCGTCCCCATGAAGTTTACCAACTTTTCCAGCAGGGCCATTGGAAGTTTTGCTGTTCCTTTTGAAAGTCCAAGTAGGCTCTTCATATACAACAGCATAAGAAAATGTCTTTGCCACCATTTTTATATCTCGACTGAGTTGAGACTCAATTTGCCTCATGCCAGCTGAACCCATCCGGCGTTGAACTTCTACATTCAAAGAGTCTGATACAATAACTTTAATGAGGTGCTCTAGTTCCTCACATCCTTCGTCTAATTTGTGAGGACCATCATTTTGATTGTCTGCTGCATCATGCATTTCAGAGAGCTCTAACTCTTTTTCATGGTCCAATATCACATATGAAGGCTCAATGATGTTCTTTTCATTACCTACACTAAGGGAATGAACCTGAACATTTTTGTGCGTATCTCTGCTGGCTGCTGCATTGTCAGCAACGTTACCCAAGTATTCTGGTTGTTGATCTAGTAGCTTCCATTTACCTTCCTCTGGATAATAGTTATCACCCAAGTGTTCTGGTTGTTGATCAAGGAGTTTCCATTTACCTTCCTCTGGATAATAGTCAAGCATGAGAGCAGTGGTTGTATTTAAGTCTAACTGTTTTGCAATCTTTTCTTTTGAAAGTTCCTCCCCAAGGTATCCATCATTAGAAGATTTTTCGACAGAATCTGTAATTCTTTCAGGAAGAATCTTCGGTGAATGCTTACCAATCACATCATCTCTGCCCAAATGTTTTTCAGTCATTACCCCAGTTACCTTTTCACTGTCAGAACATTTTTCAGTTTCATTCACACTGCATGCAGGATCTTGAGATTTTTCAGAGGGCATAAGGCTTTCAGTTTCCCTCTTGGAGGGAATTTCCTCTTCAGATAAGGACATTACCTCATTCGTGACAGTCTTCTCATCCTTGAGATTCTTCTCATCACTTACCTCATTTCCTTCTTTTTTTTCTTCATCCAGCTGAGTAATCATGTTTTCGAGCACACCAAAAACACTATTGACAGCTACCTGAGTTGAATCATCCATCCCCGTCAATGCCTCAAATGCGTCGGAAACATTAAATTTGGGCTGATTTGGTTCCTGAATTGCTGGCTTAGTTTGGTCTGATACAGGCTGGATAACTTTGGTTTCTTTGCTCTGATCATTACTTTCGTCTTTCTCTACAGGCTGTGAAGCAGAAGATTTTCCAGCATCTCCTTCATTGTCGGTAGATGTCACCTTGTTTTGATCTGTGGCAGACTGTTTTGCATTCTCATCATTTTTATTAGTTTCCTCCTTTCTTTGTTGCTGAGCTAGTACAGCACCTTGGTCCACTTTGTCCCCATCACTAGTTATATCGTCTGCACCAACTGGCTGTGGATTGGTACTATCATTTTTTGCATCTGAAGCCTTCTCGGAAGCATCAGCTACACTGGATTTTTCACTGGCAATTGGTGCTCCTTTCTCATCGTTTTTATTAGTTTCTAGCTGTCTTTGATGCGTAGCTACTCCAGAACCTTGGTCCACTTTGTCATCACTATTAGTGACATCCTCTGCGCCAACTGGCCCCTGGTTGGCAATATCACTTTTTGCTTCGGAAGCCATCTCAGAATCATCAGCTGCACTGGTCTTTTCATTGGTATGTGACTCGTAATTTCCAAGACTATCATCTTGATCACTGTCGACGGGTTGGGACTTTCCAGAATCACCGTTTTTCTGGGAAATCTTGGAAGGGGAATGCTCTAGTTCTATTCCACCTGGAGAATTATCCGAGCCACTAACAGTTTCATCTGAGCCACTCACCAAACCATCGCTCTTATCTATCGGATCAGGAGAATGAGAATCTTTTTGACCTATGGCACTTGATGGTTCTTTCCTTGCTTCCTCCGCTTTCTTCAATCCTGGTGCTATACTAGGAAGCTTAAGCTTTTCAAGATTTAATTTAGTGCCACCTGACTGCAAGATCCCAGTTACTGCTGTTGTAAGCTTCTCCCGAACTTCTTCTGGCACGGCATCTTGCAGTGCTGTTAGAACTGTCTCTCCTCGACCAACAGCATCCATAACCTAAACATTTACTGAATAATTGTCAAGCAATTGTTAATGCAGCGACCACAGTAAAACTTGTAAGAATTATTTTTACTTTTGATATGTTGGGTGTTACCTTTTTCTTTTCTTCAGCTTTTAGGGTGCCAGGCATGGTTACATCTAGCATGTTCACAACCACTTCTGCAGTCTGCAACACCTGACCTCTATCACTTTCTTCTACATTGGACTCATTATCTTCGATTGATTCAACTTCAACAAGACTGCTTGTTGAAACTCTACCATTTTCTGTTTCATCAGATCCAAAATCGCTTTTGACATTCTTTTCTAAATCTATTCCAGACGACAAATTCGAGTTTGGGCTGATGTCACTGTCTTCAAGTGTTTCTCTGAAAGGATCAACATGGTAACCATTCACCATCTTTTCGTCGGCTGGCTGTACGAGCTTCTTGGCACCGATACTTTTTTCAGGTGCTTTGGCTTCCGAAAAAACTAATCCCTTTGAAGGGTTAACAGTAATATCCACGTCTTTCAAAAGTGGATGACGACCTTTCAGAAGCCCAAGTTCTACAGCAGTCAACCACTGCATGGCCAACATAGGAAAATCAATCTCTCAGACATAAAAAAAAAGAACGTAAGAGAGAAGGACTTGCATATTATTTGCATTTTAACCAGTAAACTAACCAGAAGTTTATACTAACGACTAACGTAGATAAATCATCAGTTACTAACAACATGATCGTAATAATGAGCATCTTGGATATATAGAGTATCATGCCTGCCTTTTATCTGTTCAGTAGTGACCGAAGAAAAATAATCAAAATTATATGAGATGGTGTATCTATAGGAGAAGCATTATGTAATAACCACGAGTCTTAAATTATGAAGACAACCTAAGTTCCACCAAGATGGATTGACTAATACTCACTGGTTCCAATAGATAAATTTTCAAGTATAATTCATAACATTTGTGAGCTTGTGTGACTATGCGTGTGAGAAAGAGAGAAATATAGGGAGAGAAGTTGCCTCAATCGCAAGGTCCTGGCACCAAGACACGGCCACTGTACGTCCATGGATCAGATTTGGTGAAGAAGAGCACATAAGCAGGCTTGTAAATGGGTTTTCAGCTATTGAACTTCGTGGTATTGTATACGGTGGTACTACATCGTCATTCTGACAAATACAAGCAACTTCGAGAGTCAAAATATGCACAACACTGTTCACAAAAGTCATTCAAGAGACCAGTATTAGACTATCTAAATATTTACATGCAAATTGAAATCTGATTTAAGTTTACAAATGTAACTTATGAGTACTGTGTCAAAGGAGATAAGCGGATATTGTTGCCTTTTAAAGAAACTTATAAGCATGTTTATCCGAGGGATCAAAATCCTATTTTGTATCAGTGCCAACATCACCCTAAAATAAGGATATCACAGCAGCTAGTAACTCATTCAACATTATTCTCAGTTTAATTCATGATCCGTGCAGCATAATAACCTTCTTTTGAGTCATAAAATATCCAATAGTTCTATTATTGAATAACTGTCTGTATGTCCTAAACAAAAGTAACCCCTTGCAATGAATTCCTTAAGTAAATTAAATATACCTCTAAATATGAAATCTTTAGAATAATGATACCAGAAATTATCAATCAGGTCATATAGAGAGGTGTAACCTTAAACATAACTACATAGCCAGAATATTCACCTGTATAAAGAGGACAGGAACTTTTACTTCCCCAATCACATCTCTGGTGGCACAACTGGAATAGAAATCTTTTATACTCTCGCAACCATATGTCACCATGGACAAGGCCTTATCAAATTCGCGAACTGATTTTGAAGACAAAGCCTTTCCAACATCAAAGGCTTTTGCTCTGCCTTGAAAAAGCTCCTATAAAGTGTATCCATATGCATATCCCAGTCAATATAAGAAGAACTCACTCTAAATGAGTTCACAAATCATTATCGTTGCGTTTTATAAGCAATACCCAACCTTGTTTGCCACTAGTATCTCTACTAATCCACTTGTAAGCTGTTGATCCAAACTAGTAGAATATGGAGATGTTCGTGTGATCTCCTCAAGGTCAAAGGGATTATCAATGCATACAGCAGCTGTAAGAGGCGTTCTTTCACCAGCTTCTGCCAGGTATTTTGTCAACATATTTGCACCATATCCTCGGCCAACAGCCGTAAGAGTCGTCCATGGCCTTGTCTTGGTTAAGAATCGCAAAGCTGTGGATATATCATCACTATCACCAGCTGTAAATAACCTACAGTTACAAAAATGCATGTGTTCAAAATAGATTCAAGATAAGTAACCCTTAAGAGAGTCTAGTGTTAGGCTGTTAGCTCACCGAGGTGTAGTGAGAGGCGAACCAGCACAACCTCTAGGATTCATGACCACAGGAAACACGCCTCGCCTCAGAGCTTCGCATACAAACGATCGAACGCCTTCATCCATACTACCTTCCGGCGTTCCCGCGATCAAAATCACCGTTGTATCCATCCCACGCTCCTCCCTAATGTCCAAATTAGCCGGCCAATCAAGGGAAACAACTCCTCCGTCCTCTGTAGTGATACAAACCCTCTGATACTCCAACGGAGGAGTCTTCTCATCCGAAGCCGATACAATAATCTTGCCGGTATCCAAAGTAACGAAATGCCTCTCCTCTGTGAGGAGTCTATCGCTTAAACTCTTGTCAGAGTCATCATCAAAGGAGAACAAAGAGCAACGAAGAAGAACAAATCTGTTAAACGGCGTAGGAGTTGTGAAGAGAATCCATTCCCCAACAACATCATCAACGATTGATCTTCTTTTTGTATCACTAATCTTCTCTAAAGACTTTCCAAATAACCTCGACGATAAAAAACCCGCTAAGCCTGAAGCGACAAATGAAGCTAAGGAAGCATCTAGAGGAACGCTGATATCAAACGGCGGAGGGAAAATTGACGAATTCACTAGCTGTCGTTTAAAACGAGGTCCTCGCTTCCTGGTGTGAAACACGTAAGAGCTACGGCGGAGAATAAATGGAGACGCGGTGGTTGTTCTCGCCGGTGGGAATTGAAGAAAAATAGAAGAAGATGACGACGACGACGAGTACATGTTGAATTTCAAAAGTAGAAAGTAATCTGGGAAGGAGACATAAGAGAGGAACAATTTGTGAATCTTCCGAATTTGTTGAAGATAATAAAAGTTTGTTTGTGAAGAAGAATACACTTGATTCGAACATGGTAGATTTTTATTTTGTTTTGAGTAAAACAACGATGTTCAAAAGGACACGCACATATTGTTGAACAAAAAAACAAAAAAAAGGACACGCACATTGTCAAATGCATTAACTTTAAATGGGCTCATATTTTAGGCCCATTAGTGTATTAAACTAGCAACGATACAAGGGTTTAATCTCTTTAAAGCAATAACATTAGCAATGAGAAAGCCTAATTAAGCTAATAAGCTACATGGAACAAACTATACCAAAACAGACTTGGAAACTCACTCACTGTCACCGACTCTAAAACAGCTTTAGCACCAACTGCCTTCAGCTTCTCTACGAACTCCTCTCCTTCTTCTTTCGAAACTCCTTTTTTCAAAACCATAGGAGCCTTGTTGCAATTCTCAAATTTTACTCAGGTTTTCTTAAACTCTCTCTTTTTCAAGATTTTTCATTCATACTTCCATACATTACAAGGACACACACATACACATACTTATACAAGTTTTCTTTCACTAGTTAGTAGCTACTCACTTACCCTTACTCTCTCATCTTACTTCTACAATCTAGATTCACTTACACAAGCAATCCACTCCATCATTAGACTCCAACCACTCTTAACTGTTCAGACCTAACACCCTCTTCTAACTTAGTACTTAGCTTAGACAACAACACACTCTTTCTTTTCATTTGGGCCTTAGTTTATTCGGAGCCCATTACTAAAAACAACCCTAAGCCCATAATCTTTTTGTTGACTTTTCTTCTTCTTCTTTGACTCCCTTCTTCTTCGACGCTTTTCTTCTTCTTCAACCAAGTTTCTTCTTCTTCTCCTCACTGTAATTCTTTTGATTCTTAATCATCTTCTCTTTCTCAATTGCAGGTTCAATCGGAGACTCAACCTTCAACACTCCCTCTTGAGTTTTCGATTGAAGCTCTCGATTCCAAGTTAGGATTTTGAATCTTGATATCTTCCCTTCGCCACTGCTGGTTCCTTTTCGCTTGATCGGATGCGAGCTTTTCAAGACGTCGGCATAAGTCATCGGTGAGCTTGATTTCTCAGTCTCCCTCTTGCTCTCAATCCCAGCGGATTCAACGGCTTTTCCCTTTTCAATTTTTGTTGCTCCCTCTTGAACAATTCTCTTCTCAGTCTTGTTCTCGTTTGCTTCATTCTCAGTTGGACTCACTTTGATCTTCTTTTGCAGATAATCAGGATGGAAATTTATGTCGCCAAACTTGATGGCATAATCTGAATGAAGGCTCATGTCTCCAATCTTGATGACGTTCGTTTTTCCAACCGGAGGTAATCCCTTTGCTTCTTCCTTGTTTTTAATTTCACCCTTGCAAATGGTTTCCAAATTTTGAATTCCAAACCCTTTGAACTTTGACGCTTGCTTCTTTTTCTCTGTCTCTGTCTCTTGATCATTCTCTGCCTTCCTTTTGCAGATTTCTTCTCTAGTCCACTTTTTCTCCCTCTTAATCTCAGGTGAGCTTTCAATTTTCTCCACCGTGTCTCTGTTCAACACCATCTTCTTCAGATTTTTTTCTGGACTCACATCCTTGACTTCTCTAACTTTGTTTTCTTCTTTTCCAGTTTCAGAATTTCTCTGGTTCTTAACTTCAATCACTGATTTTCCCTTCACAGCTTCATCTCCATGCTTCTTAGCTTGATACATCACAGATTTGTTTTTGTTTTCAACATTCTTCTTAGTACACCAAGGTTGCAACGTTTTTTGATTTGCAATTTTAGTGTCTCTAGCTCCTTGACAACATGATTTCACCTTTTCTTTTGCAGCAACCATTGTTGCTTCTTCATTCTCTGGCATCTTAAGATGATAACTCCTTTTGATCATTGGCACCTCAGCTATCTTCCTTCCAGCGGGATCATGAATGGTACAACCATTTTGATCAAAGTTAACTTCATAATCATTCTCAATCATTTGAGAGACACTCAAGAGATTTTTGGCAATCTTTGGAACTAGTAGAACATCTTTGATCATTCTCTTGCCCTTCTTTGTCATGATTTCAATGTCTCCCTTTCCCTTTGTGGTCAGAACAGCTCCATTACCTACATGGATAGGAACATTGAAGCTTGTGTTGAGGTTAATGAACAGTTTTTCCTGTGAGGTCATGTGATTTGTGCATCCACTATCAATGAGCCAGACATTTTCTTCTAGTGTTTCTTCATCCTCTTGTCTTGCTGTGAACATATGGTAGGTTTCTTCTTCTTCTTCTTCTTTTTCGTTGTCTTCTTGAGTAACTTGAGCTTGTTCTCCATTCTTGAGTTTGCAGTCATTTATTAGATGACCTACCTTGCCACAGCGGAAACAGCTTCTGGTTTCTCTGTTTGTGTTAAAATTCGGTCTGATTTTTCCACTCTTGAGCCAGCAAACATCTTCATTGTGATTATCTCTTTTACAGTAATCACACCACCTCTTTTCTCTGTAACTTGACTGACCTTGGTTTTCCTTATTTTTGCTCTTCACATTCAGATTTCGGAAATGTGCATGGAAGGCTCCTTCTGCTTCTTCTTCATCCTCAGGAAAGAATTTCTTCTCATGTGCCTCAAGAGATCCAACCAGCTCAGCATAGGTAACTGTCATTAGATCCTTTGTTTCTTCCATTAAAGATGACAGACCAGCATAACTCTTTGGCATAGAGGCCAGCATTTTCACTACTAAATCAAAGTTTGATTTTCCTTCACCTAGAGCCCTCATCTGATTTGCTACAGCCTGAATCCTATCAGAGTAAGCTTTAACCTTTTCCCCTTCTTTCATTTTCAGATTCTCAAACTCTCTTCTTAGAGACTGAAGTCTAACAGTTTTAACTTTCTCATTACCTTGATAGGAGTGCTCTAGCAGCTTCCATGCTTGATGTGCTGAGGTTGCTGAGAGAATCTTGTCAAACACCACATCTGCCACTCCATGTTGAAGAATTTGAAGAGCAGCAGTATCCTTAGCTTTGAGCGCCTTCAAGTTTGCAGCTTCTTTGGTCTTGTCTGCTCCTGGAGTCTCTGGTGACTGAGATCCCGGATCTGGAACTCCATCTTTTACTACTTCCCACAGATCTTTGTTCATCAGGGTTGTTTTCATTCTTGCTGCCCAGAACTCATAGTTCTGTCCATCAAAAACAGCAACAAGTTGTGAAGATTGCAAGGTAAGTGTCATTCTTCTCTTCTCTTCTTACGGCTTCTTCTTTGCCTCCTTATTTCTTCTTCTTTGAACAGGCTCCAAGATCAAGTGTGCTCTGATACCATGTTGCAATTCTCAAATTTTACTCAGGTTTTCTTAAACTCTCTCTTTTTCAAGATTTTTCATTCATACTTCCATACATTACAAGGACACACACATACACATACTTATACAAGTTTTCTTTCACTAGTTAGTAGCTACTCACTTACCCTTACTCTCTCATCTTACTTCTACAATCTAGATTCACTTACACAAGCAATCCACTCCATCATTAGACTCCAACCACTCTTAACTGTTCAGACCTAACACCCTCTTCTAACTTAGTACTTTAGCTTAGACAACAACACACTCTTTCTTTTCATTTGGGCCTTAGTTTATTCGGAGCCCATTACTAAAAACAACCCTAAGCCCATAATCTTTTTGTTGACTTTTCTTCTTCTTCTTTGACTCCCTTCTTCTTCGACGCTTTTCTTCTTCTTCAACCAAGTTTCTTCTTCTTCTCCTCACTGTAATTCTTTTGATTCTTAATCATCTTCTCTTTCTCAATTGCAGGTTCAATCGGAGACTCAACCTTCAACAAGCCTTCTCCACCAATTCTTTAGCTTCCTTAAGACCCACACCAGTGAAAATCCTTACTTCTTTAATGGTCCTGATTTTCGCACATGGATCAAAAGACTCCAGTGTAACCTCAAACACAGTCTTCTCCACTTTAGCTCCCTCATTGGCACCAAGTGCCTTCTCCACCAATTCCAAAACAGCTTTTGCACCAATTGCCTTCAACTTCTCAACGATCTCCTCTCCTTCTTCTTTGGATACTCCTGTTTTCACAACCGTAGGAGCCTTCTCCACCAATTCCTTAGCATCCTTAAGACCCACACCAGTGATTCTCCTTACCTCCATAATGATCTTGATTTTCGCACATGCCTCGAAAGACTCCAGTTTAACCTCAAATACAGTCTTCTCCGCTTTGGCTCCCTCATTGGCACCACCACCACTTTGGCCTTCCCTTAGTACTCTCATTTTGTTTGATTTCTGATACGTGCTTGTTCCTTGGCTTTAGCTCTAGTAACCGGTGGTGAATAATCCAGCTTAGAACTAAGGAATCGAATAGCTTAAGCTTGAAGAACAAAGAGATTTTAAGCTAAGCTTCCTCTTAACCCAAGTCTCTTTCTAGAGAATTAGGTTAATTGTTGGAGGTTTTATTCGTTATTAATGGTCTTTACATAGACCTTGGTGTAACGAAGGCAAAAAAGAAAATCACAAACCCTAAACCTAATGTCAAAAACAAATACGTAATTGCTTTTAAATTAAAACGAAAACACCAAAACTAATTAACTAAAACGTCCTAAGCCTACCCTAATCATCCTAATTCCTAACCATAGTCTTGTATCAAATTTTTTTTTTTTTTCACTTGAAGATTTTTCTCTACATTTTTATTGACTCATTACATCTACGTTATACTGTATATTAAACACAAAACTTGCTCTCCAAGCAATAACTGTACTAGATGTCAGAAAAAAGAAGATGCAATAAGTGTAGTGTATCTTGCTTTCTTGTCACGAAATTGCTCCCCAAGCAAAAACGTCACTTTCTCAACACAGATTATATGTATACTAGTTCGTTTTGATCAAGATTATTGCTTCTTTAACCTTTTGGTACCTCTCGTTGTTCATAACTTTATCATCATCATCATCTACTATTCTTTGCCTCTCACTGTTCATATCCTTCCATGTCCTCTATCTACAATAGTTAAAAAAGCTCATATTTTGAGTACCATTCGAAATGATATATAACTTTTAGCCTCCTATCGAATTTAACATAAAACACATAAAGAAAAGTCAAAGAAAACCTGTTGTAACTTATAGTAACTTACACGAGTCTTTGCCAAAAGAAAGTTTGAAAATCTAAGAAACCAAAAAAGGGTTAGAAGGGACTGATTGATGATCATTTGGAAACAAAATTGTTTTCCTTCTTGTTCCATATTTTAAAACACATTTATGTGTATATATTTCTCCTCTGCCCTTCTTTCTCGATTTTTCCTCATTCGTCATGAGCTTTATTAACCTCCTCACTAGTCTTTGATTCATCAGTCTTTGGTTCCTCAGTCTTTGATTCATCAAACGCCAGTAACTGCAACAGCAACAAAAAAAAAGAAGAAAAAGACCATAAGCTCACTAATCCTTTACATTTAACCTACAACCACAAGCACGATAAGCAAACACAAGGTAACAGGAAGGTTCTTCTGTTTGGGTTGCAAAATTGTGTTTACAACAATCGAAATATCGAAATCTAGGACTAGGAGGAGTAGAAAACAAACCGGTTTGATGTCACCATTCCAAATGCAGTGAGAAGCCAAGAACCCAATTACGGCTGGGACAATGTATAACAAAGCAGGCTGAAACAGAGGTAATACAAAAACCAAAACCCATCAGAGAAAATCCCAAAATAAGGTTGCAATAAATGGATGACAACAATTTAGACACAAAAACTGACCTGGGCTGCTTGAAACCAGTTCATGACTACAATCGTGAGGACAACACCAACAGCGTATCCGATAAATGCACTTGTGAAGTATTGTGGTTGTCTACGTCTTGACACATCAAACCTTAGAGCTAGTGCAACAAAAATACCTACAGGAAAACAAAAACTAACGTCTCATATTCATATAATATCCAAAAATATGACTCAAGAATGCATAACCATAAGCTGAATATAGTTATTGGGTTAAGAATTAGAGGACATACCTGGAATGACAATATCACCAAGACCAAGCATAGAATAGGGTCTAAGAGCATCACCCGTAGGGAATAAAAGCTGAAAGAAATATGTAACAATGAGATTACTGACAAAATTAACAAATCAGAAAAAATTTGTTTGATGTGTACTTTTGAGGCATTTTTACTAACCTTTATTGGAGCATCGAAGGATTTGGCAACACTAACCATAACCGGAGTAAAGAAAACCCAGAAGATATCATAGAAAAATAGTCCAGCCTGCAAGTCAAGCATAAACAAACACCAAATGATTGAGACATATTCAAACACTTGAATTTTATTTTCATCTAAAAATCCAAACAAGTTTTCAAGAATAACATTCAAAAGATGCAGTTCTTACCAAAAGGATGGCACCAGTCTTGAATGATCCAAGAGAGAGCATCTCAATTCCCTGTATTGGCCACATCATTAATTAGAAAAAAATACACAACCAACAACACTAACCACAGGGATTCTAGTTCACTTTAAACTTAAATAATATGTTATGATAGTGAAGCCACATAGTTATGTATTCCCATATTATACTCCATAAAGTGCAAGGGAAATAACCTGAATGCAGAAGGAAAGGCCGAGAATATTGTTAGCTAGCCAATGCTTTTTCCACGCATACCACGCACAGAAGAACGTTCCAGGGATTCCGGCAACAACTTGGGACTTTGTGAACTCTACCTCCAAAGCTGTTTAAGAGAAATGTTTTAGAAATAAAAGAAAACAATATTTGGCATGAAACAAGTAAATCTCAACCAAAAGAATAGAACAATAACTGGATTGAGTAAGAAAAGTAAAAACAGATTCGAAAACAGGACAAACAAATATGAGCTTCAATGATCATTACATCAACCAAACTAGCATTCAAAGACTAAGCAAACAATAACCAACAAAACCATAACATCACATCTAAATAAAATGAGAAAAACGGATACCAATGAACATTGAAGGTAAATCTTAGTTACATACATTTGAAATAAGGAAAACGCCAGACGATGAGATTGTCATTCCAAGGATTTGGCAAAAATCTTCTTATGGCTGGTAACAATGTCGCCCTGCAACACACACAATTATGTCATGAATTGCGCACAGACAGCAGATCACGACCAAAAAAACAGAAGTGTAATTCAGATAAGACATACGAAAGAGCGACAATCCCAAGAACAAAGAAGTAAGCTGTTAGAACAGCATTGACCAAGTCCTTTGAGAGAAACTTGAACAATAAGAAAAGTGAAAGAAGCATAGCACTCCCAACCAATGGGAAACGCATGGCATGTTCTTTAGACATCGTCTCCTACACCATTTCAAACCAAACAAACATTTTAGATTGAATATGAAAAATTGTTTCACTAATAAAGAAACAATCTGATTGCGTCTTTGTCTTACCGTTGGAGGAGTATCCTTGACGGAACGAAAGCAACCAACATAAACAGTGATACATGCTGTGAGAATAACATTCAAATTTGGATTTACTGTCACAACGAGTGGTGCCAATGTCAAACCTGTAACCAAAACCAAAACAAAACCACTCAATTTTGAATCTTTACGCCATAGTTAAAAACAATCAATCACACCCACCAAGCCTAAACCCTAGAGAAACCAAACTGATCTAAAACAAATCCCAAAAACAAACAAAAATTTCATATTTTTCCACCGAATTCTAAGAACAAACCTAAAAACCGAAAAAGTTAACAACTTCATCACCTAAATCAAAAATCAGAAGAAACCCATAACACGAAACCATCACATGATCGTAAAAAACCTATCGAAATTGAAATTCATGAGACGAATTGTAACAATTATGAGTGAAAGAGAGAACAAACCTGCGAGAGCGAGATTAGCGAATCTCTCACAATTCTTCATAATTGCTTCTTGTGTTTCGTTTTTACTCTGTACTCTGATGAATGTATATTGAGAGAGAGGAGAGAGATCCAGTGGTGGGGTCAAGAGATAAAATTTCCACCAGATCTGTTAAAAACAAAAAAAGGATGAAGAAGAAGAAGAAAAAGAAGAAGAGAAGAGTTAAAGAAAGAAAATTAATATACTCGACGACTACGAAAGTTACGGGTCTGTGACCTAATTATGTGACAGACTTATTTCATTGGTGACATTCACGTGTTTATGACATTACGTACGCATTTAATTGGTTGATTAATAACATTCATCACCACATCACATATGCATATTTGTTTTCTTATATGGTTAGTCAATAAAATGGTAACCGATACTTTTCTACTTCAACGGAAAACAAAATCAATGTCACAAAACACCTAATTAATTATCGGAGATTTTTACTAGTCTATATTTTGGTATTATTTCTTTTTTTTTTTTGGTAAGATTGGTATTATTTCTTATATATAATCAATGTAAAAATATTATATTATATACAGTTTTAGTATTTTATTCTATTTTAGTAAGTTATACAAAAAAATATAGATATATTAATCGGACATCTAAACAAAATTTGACTCATGGAAGTGTAGTAAACGGAAAGAAAAGATGGGAGTCGATTGTCTGACTCTTTCCACTCTTTCAACTAGTTTTGGTCCTTTTGGATAAAATACATGAGTACATGACATTCAAACTATATCTTTAAATGTATCATACATATCATTAGAATATTTGGCTACGAGTTAGAGATTCTAGTTCAAAACAATGCTTTGGAAGCACTAAATGATAAGGTTTTTTAATTATACTTGAGGGAGGGAAACTAAAGCTAAGTACGAGTACGGAAAGTTAAAGAAACATTGTAATCTTTCATGATAACGAAAGAAAAAAATTCTCATTCTTTTCAAGAACTTCCCGCATTTATAGACTATTGAGGCACAAAACAAACCCAAATCCTGTTTTTCTTGGATTCCAAAAAAAGCCCAAGTGTTTTTAAAAGTATTCCAGATTCTAAGTGTTTAAAACATAGAACGGTAACCTTTTAAGATGGTTTTGGTGATCAATAAACTCGGTTTCTTCTTGGGGACTTTAAGTTCTGCAAAAGAAGAAGAAAAGACATCATCAAAAAATGGAATCTCTGTGCAATTTGAAAGTAATTTTGGTAACCAGAATCATACCATTTGACTACCATAGTCTTCATTCCTAGCAATTTCCTCGGAACCATGAGGATGGTTCTCGCCTTTTCTGTGCCTAGGCTTGCTTGAAGTCTCTATTGTTTGAGAAATATAAGGAAAGAAAGTTGGAAGCAAGACAAGACCACGATCCATGTCAAATACATTGGCTCTTAATCGCAGCATCACTTGCGTAAGAGCTTTGATTGCTGCATCAAGACTTCCTGTTATCTATAACCACAAGATAAAGAAACATTGTTTAAGCTCTTTAAAACACACAAAATCGAGAATGTATCAGGCAATAAAGGGTCAAGATTTATTACTTGGACCATCTCCTCATTCTCACGAGCAATTCTTGGTACATCTTCGCCTTGAAAAATGCGGATGTTCGCTTTTGTGACACTCCTCATCTCGGATATAAGAGCTCCACCTTTTCCAATGAGACACCCTACTTGAGAACTTGGAATAAGTACACGAGTAGAGATGGCAGAATCACTTGAATCTTTCCCCACATTCTCACTGCATCGCGTTTGTAAGCGTAAGGCTGCATTCACCGTTGGGGATTGATCTTCGAAGAACTGATGTACATAAACTTGGTTCAACATTTCACACGTTGAAAAATGAGACTCTCATTCAGAAGAAAAAGTTTGCATTACCTCCTTTGCTGATATGAAAATTATGCAATCATCATCTTCATCAGTTTCTGGGGTATGGACTTTGATGGTCGCACCAGATTCTTGCCTAGTCTGATTAATGAAACAGCCACCTTTTCCTATTACACCTCCAACATTTTCAGCTGGACATATGAAGCAGATAGAAAACACTCTTGCATCGGCAGCATCTCTTGGTGCAGAGTAATTTTTGTGAGAACTCGTTATTGCAGGACTCATTAGAATTCCACCAGGTTGATGCTGCAGGGTACTAGAAGAAGACAGAAAGTAGTTCTGAAAGCGTGACGGATTATCATAAAGCAGAAAGGCAACTTGGTAAAGAGCTTCTCTAACAGCAGAAGGATCTCCAATTATCTGAAAGTCAACCAACAACAACATTCATAAGCTAAATCAGAAACACAACCACACTAACTCAAATCTAGAAAATTCTCCAGAAAGACTTGTTGTCTTGTTGACATTACCTGAAGAAGCTCATCATGACTCAAAGCCAAAGCACAAATGGGAAGATTATCATTGATAACACGAATCTGAGCATTAGTGTCACTACGCAGTTTTTGGATAACCTCTCCGCCTTTCCCAATAATGCAACCAATTTGATCCGAAGCCACAAGCATCCTCGCAGTAACAACTGTTTGTTTCTCACTATACTCATCATCGTCATCATAATCACCATCATTGTCAAATTCTTCAGCAACAATCATATCATGAACCTTGAAAAGAGCATCAAAAGCAGGACAGACAAAATCCTCATCATCTTCAATACGATTCGTCTCCTCGCTATTAGAATATATAGTAACAACACGCTCATCACAACCCGGTATAGCCTCGTTTATCCTCATGTTTGCTTTCGTGTCAGACCTAATCTGCTTTGCAATTTCACCACCTCTCCCAATAATACTCCCTGCTTTCCTCACAGGACACAAGTAACGATACACAGTATCTTCTAATCCAGCACCATTATTATCTGCATCATCAGAAAAAAAAAAAGCTCTTAGCTCTAATCAAATTTGAAAACTAAGTAAACAAAATCTCTTACCATAAACGTTCCTTGAATAAGCCATTTTAGCAACGGTTTGGTGAGACAAATACTCGAATCACAAAGCCAGAGGAAGCTGAAGAACATACGAAACACAAAATTAGGGTTTAAGTTAGGTTTCAAATAAGTAACAGAAACAAACTTTCATAACTCATAAGACGACTTCGTTTCTCTATAGATAGATTTTAAGCTCACATCGAGAAACCTAATCAACGTCGATCAATACGAAAATCAGATTCTCACGCAACCGATCGATAAAACTTGATAGCTCTTGAACATTGCTAAGAAAACGGAAATCAAGTAACTCTCACCGGAGAAATAAGCGACCGATGATTGACTAATCCGTCCGTGGAAGCGTCGTCTCGCCGGAAAATGCAACGGCCTCTCTCCGTCTTTTTGCTTCTGTGGTTGTGGAATTTGAAATTGAAAGAGTAATGAAAGAAGAAAAAAGTCTTTGGGCTCATTAACGTCTATAGGAATCTAAAAGGCCTACCAAGTTTGTGTGGGCTTTTCAATCTTTCTTGCGACGTGACGACACGTAGCATTATTTAAATCAGTAAAATTAAATTCAAAAGTTAATATATTTAACGGTCCAAACAATGACTTAAGTTGACTATCCCAAATTTTTTTGCAAAAGAAATAATTAAACATGGTTAAATTTATTTGTTCTACTTACATAGATTAAGTTGGTTTTATAGACTATGATCGTACATGATCCTTCACACAAAAGATTACTTTATAATGTATGACTGAAGTCAATATAAACGATTAATTGACCAAAATAATAAATTTAATTGTAATATAGTATAGCAATCAAACTTAAAGTGTGGGTAAATTTGTAGTTTTAAATAGTGAAGGAAAAAAAAAAAAAAATTAAAACTATCTTATCATTTCCAATTTTCTACTAGAGTCAATTCAGTCCAGGTTGTATTTGGGCCGAGCCTTCTCCATAGGCAGTTTTTACGAATGGAATTAGTTTTTGCAAGTCTTTGTTTTCTTTTTTTTCTTTGCAAGTATTCGTTGTATGCTTTAAAAGTTTTGCTACAATAAGACCGAAAATATATTTTTTTTTGGTAGGCATAAGACCGAAAATATATAAAACTGATAAAAGTGAATTCATAAAATTCTCTCAAAGCGAGATTTAAATGTATATTAGTAAACTTTTTCACCTTTGAATACTAAAAAATATTTATCCTTCACAAATAAATTAAATTAAATCAATTGATTTTTTTTACTAAACTATATAGTTAGGCTTAGGCATATAATAAATTAACTATTTTTAATATTCGGCGATACTAAAGTTCAGCTAGTCATTACACTTATATCAACTTGCTACTTTTATTCTTGTTGACTTTTATATTGGAGTTAATAGGAAAAAAATCAATTTGATAAAATATGAATAGTGAAGCCTGCTAAATTTTACTGTCGGCAGTGGGCTACTCACGGCCACGGACCCATATTGCAGAATTTTATTAGTTTCCAATTAATTGTTTTTTCATAATAATTTATTGTACTTTACAATTTCACATATATTAGATGGAAAGTGAGTCTAAAATCCTTCTCTTTTTTTGACGGCAGAGTCTGAAATCTTTATAATCACAGTTTCTTTAATCTCTTCTTCTTTTGCTAAGCTTTGATCACGGGAACGACGAACAAAATTTCAAATATTTAATAACATGACAATGATATAAAGTGTAATTCATATTAAAACAACAAAACATCCTTTTTATTACGAGGAACTCTTAATTATAGTTATGATGAAAACAAGCTTTGAAGGGATCACCTCTTTTTTACATTCATAATTTTGTTGAAAATTTCTTGAGGATAAAAAAACATTCGAAGATTTGTTTTCGATAAGGGTGAGCATAATTTTTTTTTGAGCAATAGGGGTAAGCATAATTCTCTTGTTATTGTTCGTCTCGTATCCATTGCCAAAGAAATGTATTTCTGAAATAAGACAAGCTTTTATTTTAAATTGGGAACGAGAAACGGGCGGAAACGGAGATTTTTTTAGTCCTGTTTGAGACCTATATAATATTAAAAAATATTTATATATATTTATATATCATATAATGTAATAGAAACTATTATAAAATTTAGTTGACTTCTTTAATCTTATTACTTTTTGTTTTGTTCATCTAGATTGGATATTGTTAGTTTTTCTAAGTTTTAAATATATTATTCCCTCTCTTTCAATATAAATGATGTTTTAGAACTGAAGAGCTAAAAACATCCAAAATAATTTGAAGGATAATTTTTTGTATAGATAGTGGCTTTGATTGGTGAACAATTTTAAAGTATTACAAGTGGTACAGTTTTTATTTGTACCAATCACAAAAACTTTATCAAAAGCGTTACGTACTAAAAGTTTTACTCTCAGCTTTCTCGTACAGCTCTTTCATACAGCTTTGCACTATTCCGGTAAAGCTTACAGCGCTAACTAACAGCTAAAAAACTTGTACAGCTTTTGGTTACCAATCAGACCCAGTGTTTTTGTAACTTTAATAGCATTTTCTTAAAGCACAAAACATAAATAATATACAAATTGGAGACATGAGACTTTTGTGATTTCAAGCTTTTACACGACATACATCGCTTTACCCATTTTATAGTAGGCAATTAGGCATCTCTTAGGAGTAGGTGTTGGCTAATTTTATTTTTTCCAACAGCTTATGCATTATTCGTGTTTTAAATGTTACCATGGTCATAACAAGAATACTATCACAAATTACTAAAAATGAATGTCTTAGCAATCCATTACTCTTTTAAATGGTATAAATAATTAACTATACACTTCTACATTCTATAGTTTTTAATTGAATAAAATAAACAAAAATTCTTTCTGAAGATCTCCTTTATGTATGAGTTTTTGGGATTTTCGCTAAGGGTTAAAATTCTTAACATACAATAAAATATGGTTTTTCTGTTGGTTTCTATAAATGTTAAGCAAATGGAAATGTAGAATTTATTAGTTCTGTGTTTCTCTTTTTTTTTTTTTTTTCTTTTTTGACAGCAAATTAGTTCTGTGTTTCTCTAAGATATTGAAAGAAGATTAAATTTGAATTGGTAATCTGAAAATAACATAAAATTTTAACCTTTGTAAGAAAATATACTCCATTTTTTCACTTTAAGTAATGTTACTTTAAGTTTTTTCAAAGAACATGATATTGATCATTCATTTTATTTTTAGGTATAGAAATATAACCATCCGTGATCTTACAAGGTTTTCCCTCCAGCTAGGATTTACATACAAAAAAAAGTAGTACAATGTATAAAAACAACTCAAATTGGAATGTAAATATCTTTCGAACAAGCAATGTTTATATGAGTTCTTTATAAATAAATAAATAAAGTTTATACTAGTTAAGAATCAACTGTACAACTTGCAGAGGTAGCTAATGGAGATTGTAAAAAAATTTCCTATTCATATTTTTCCCCCTAATTCAATTTGATTAACGTCGAGTTGCCAACTTAAATAAATAAAAATATTTAAGAGAGTAGCATTATAATTGAAACGATTTGTTAACCATATATAATCGACATCTATGAGTCAAATCAGAAGAATAGTTGTTGTATGAGTAGAGCTAGGGACGACGGGTTCACAAAAATATAGCTAAATTTTCAAAGCATAATTCGATTTCATTAGATTTTTTGGTTACCACGTCACTTTCGGATTTAGTGGAATATGATTCGAATGTTCGAATCATTATAAGAGTAAATAATACTATAATTTATAATTGACAATCGCCATATAAGAAACAGTTTTTACGTTTCTTTTGGTCGTTTATGTTTACGTTTATTTATTTATTTTATCAACGAAATATTAAATTATTTTAACTGTTGGAGTCATACATGGGTAAAGTAGATTTTGCAAGGGGCCTCAACATTGACTTATGATAAACATACACCGAAAACAATTAAACCTGAAGATATTGATATACACATCCGCTAGGATACTATGAATTTTCAAAAGACACCTTCGAATATATAGCTTCGACTAGAATTTATGTCAAATATAACATAAAATTGTTAAATAATACAAACAGGGAAGATATGCATCTTATCAAGAAAAATGGTAGAGCCTATAATACAAAGAGAACAACTAAATGTTGGGTTTGATTTTAAGATTAATCATATCTTAAGACGACCTTAGAGTCTCGTCGTATCTCTCGTGATACCTACCTTGTCCCTTATCTTTTTTTTCGTGACCATGTACCCGCATACATATGTGCATATCATACAATAATATCATGATTATAAAATCATGCAATATATCATTATTGTAACTTTGTAAGAAAGCAAAAACAATTGCACATGCCAAACTACTGTTAAAAAAAAGAACATGACGACATTACATTATTGTTACGTGAGGCACAACAACAAACAATTAGAGCAAATTTTACTACATGGATTAGAAAAATGAACTTAAAGAAAAAATAAAATAAAGAGGTTGATTATTTTAAACATTGCACTTGTATATTGTACGTAGTCTAAGAAAATAACATGTTCAAACTGTATACGTAATGGTCATGAATCCACATTTATAAATTATTACTAATATGTTAATATATAACAAAAAAATATAAATATGAACTCAATTAGAAACGCTAATGCGATTAGTTGGAAACAAATTATGCCATACAATTTCTTGAGAAAATATAATCACATAATATATAGAGGTAGGCCATAACGAAAAACAACGTGTATTATGTTATTGTCATTGATTAACTTAGATTACTTTGTATTTAATGAATGGTCTTATAGTTTGACAACTCCGGTTTCCACGAGGAGTCGAGGAGTGAAACAAAAGTGATAGTCATGTGCTTAATCATATGATTAGTAGATAACCTTTTCTCCAATTATTGAACCTTATTCAGGCTTTAAACACTCGAGGGATTTAGTTACCTAAATACTATTGTCGGTAGCTTGAAGTTATCCTAAAATCGATTATCTGCTATCAATTAAGCCAATCATTATTAAGAGAAGTTAAATCCGTAATTAGGCTAAACTTAGAGCACTGGGGCAAGTGGGCAATTTGGCAAAAATAAACAGAACTTTAGACATCTGGTTTTATGCACTGTGCAGACAACTAATCATCTGTGCTCGTGCAGCATGCGATGAATCCTAGCCGTTGAATTTAATACTCCATTATCATCGGTGAAGATAAACTCTAACAAAAAGTTTTAGACAATTACCTCAAAAGAAGAGGAATACCAAAAAGCTGCCTTTGGAAATCTTAAATGTAGTTGAACGGTTAGTGGTAGTTAAGACTGATAAAATAATTTAACACATTTTTTTTTTGTAATTAGTTAATTTACTTATATTTAAATTTAAAAAATTAGAGGTCAAATATCAAATTTGAAAAGTGGTAATTCAACATCACACAGTCAAAGTATAC